CTTCACGTGAGCCAAAACAAAGGACAATCAGACAGGAGCACAACCCTGAACAGAAGACTAATGGGAAAGCACACAACAAAACAGCAAGAGTGGAAGAGGAGGCCAAGATCTGCAGGACGTGCCTCACACCAGCCCCCTGGTCCACCAGCAGCCTCTGCCCATCTTTGTGCTCCTTACCTCAGCAACTCCTCCTGGCTCCCCACAACCCGACAACCTCGCATGACCCCCATCCGAGCAGCCTCTCCACGCCGGGCCCCATCCCGGGGCCTGGCCCCATGGCTGCTCTGCTCCAGCCCCGCTCACCCATCCCACCCTGCCTCAGTCCCGCATCTGCCCCAGCCGCCGAGCCCCCCCCACACGAACCTCACACGCCTCGTCTCCCCGCACCCTCGTGCTCCGTACGGCCCCACGCGGCTGCTCCCCCTCACCTCGGCCATCCCGCTGCGCCCACCGCCCCGGCTCACCCAGCCGCGGGCACAGCGCCCCAGCTCGCCCCGCGCCGGGCCCCGCAGCCCGTCACCCCGTGTAACCCCGCGCCAGGCCTCCCTGCCCCGGGCAGCCCCCGAGGCCCCTGCCCCGCACCCGCGGCCCCCTCCCGGGCCGCCCCGGCCCCCGCCCGCCCCGCCCCGGGCCTGCGCCGCCGGGCCCCGAGCGCCGGCCGCGCGCGGGAAGCAGCGCGGAGCAGGCGGCGACGCCGCGGCCGCTCTTACCTCCGACCCGGTACATGTTGGCGGCCATGCCCGCGACCGGGCCGGGTGCGGGGAGCGGGCCGCTCCCGCCGCCGCCGCCTCCAGGTGCCGGATCCGCTGGAAAATGGAGGCTGGAGCGGGCGGCGGGGGAGGGGAGCGGGGGAATTAAAGGGGCCGCGCCGGCGGACAGGGAGGGAGCGAGGCGGAGGGCGGGGCGGCGGTGGTGGTGGTGGCGGCCCGGGCCCGGCGGCGGCGGCGGCGTCGGCGGCGGGAGGAAAGGAAGGAAGGAGGGGAACGAGCCAGAGCCGCCCGCCCGCGGCGTGTGAGGGCGGTGCTCCGGCCTGCGAGGGGAGGGACGGGACAGGAGCGAGCGGGGCTGGGGGCGGCACGGCCTCCTCACACACGCACACGGAGAGAGCGACTGTACGCACACACACACATACACACACACACAGAGACTGCCTGTACAGAGACACACACAGAGCAGCTCTGATCACACACACACACAACACCTATACACACACACAGCTTCTCCTTGCACACGCACGCGGCCTGCCCTCACACACCGCCTGCCCTCACACACACACACACTGACCGCCTGTGCACACCTGTGGCGCACACACACACTGACCACTTGTTGCACACGCACTGACCACCAGTGCACACCGCTGTGACACACACAGAGTGCCTGTACACACCGCAGTGACACACACACAGACTGCCTGTGCACACCACAGTGACACAACACACCTGCGGCACACACTGACTGCCTGTTCACACACACACAACACACACACAGGCCCCACAGAGGCTCTGCTGTCCTCATACACCAGCCCTGACGTAGCATGGGCAGCCCAACACACACAGAGCAGGCTGTCCTTAGGTACAGACTGACACACACACACCACCTGTGCTCACACATGTGTGCCTGTGCTCACAGTCCGTCTCATGTGCCTGTATTCACACACAGCCTCCATCATGTACAGGCACCACTGGTGGTTTTGGACGGCCCTCATGCTGACTTGTCCTCACACACACACAGAGTCTTCCTCACACACACCCACAGGCCATGCACACCCCGGGCAGGAACAGCAGGTCCCTGCACGGACACAGCCCTCCTGCTGCACACCCCTCCTGCTCACACCTACATCCATGTGCTTCCCACACACATCCCTCCAGCCCTACACACACCTCCTGCTCACACTCCCCACTCCTGCACTGTCTCACTTGGGTCCCCTCTGTGCTGCTGTGTCCCCCACTGCCACGCTGGGGCCTTCTCCCCTCCTCAGGTGTCAGCCTGAGAGGTGAAATGATGGCTTCAGCTTTCCCTTGCCCACTGACCTGTGGGTGTCACTGGTCCTGGGCACACCAGGGCTGCACCACGCAGGTACATCCCTTCAGCCCTGCACAGCCCCTGTCCAGGTGTCTCCTCGGCAGCCCTGCAGTGGTTACACAGTTGTCGAACAGCTATCAGCTCCAGATCACTCTGCAAAACTTGCACTTTGCCACTGCCACTTCCTCTCCTACAGGAACTGGCTGATGCCTAAAAACACCCAAGAAACCACCATTCTGTGGCACATACCACCTTTACAGTGGGTCCCCAGCAAGAGCTGACAAAGTACAGCAGTGAAGGCGACAGACCATCCCCTCGAGGACTTCTCCATGCATGTGGCCAAGGCTGGATGGTGAAGCTCAGTGAAAAGCTACCCCTCTGATGGTCAGCAGCAGCAGACCTGCAGCACTGCTGGCCTCTCAGGCAAGGCAGGATGACTACCCTTGGCTCCAGCACAGAGCTGGAGAGTCACCTGGTGTTACCCAAACCAGTTGACAACGCAGGAGCTCTCGGCACAGTCACACAGGTCAGGATGGCCAAAAAATATCTGTCAGGAAACTCTTTGCTGGAGTATGTGATCAACAGTCCAAACCGTCATACCCTTTACTGGGTATGGGCTGGGCAGAGCTGCTGCCTGCACTCTGAACACGCTTCTCACAAAGTACTGAAACACCTACATGAGACCACCCAAAACATTGACATCTGCCAAAATACATATGTTTTTCAGAAAGAACAGGGTTCTTGTTAAAATTTGCTTTGTGTGTTAGGAAAACAACCCTAATCACCAAATCTCTGAGAGTCCTCACATCCCAGGAGGGCACAGGGCTCTGCTTTTATGTTCCCAATATGCACAAGGAGCACGGCTGAGTGAGGAAAACACTTCTGGGGGTGAAAATCGGTCAGCCAAAAAAGGTCAGTGCGCCGGGGAGCACCGCCGTGATGTTTCCTCCTTCCCGAGCCATCCAGGGAAGCGCGTGCCGGCACAGGCGCCGGGCACACCGCAGGACACGAGGCCCACCCTGCTGCAGCCGCTCTGCCGAGCTGAAAATAATCCAGTAGGACACAGAAAAATTATCCAGAGCAAATATTTACAAATCACATCCCAGCGCACTCAGTAGTTGCACACGGAGAAGCAGACGGTCACACGGCGTTGATTACTTTTCCAAATGCTAAATCGTGTTTTAAATGATAGCGACAAAAACGTGTTGGATCTTCCCTGCTGTTCCTCTTCCAGGTTAAGCAACAGCTGTGGTCAGGGCCGGGGTGTTGTGCCGTTGGAGGGAGGCGAGCTGGAGCTGCCACACTCAGCCTGGGAAGGAGTGGGCTCCTGCAATGCCCCGTCTCCCACCACCAAACCCCCCTCCCATGGCTGCCACCGACTCCCACTGTGCAAACCCAGACCGCCCAGAGGGCTTTTGGTGCATCCTGGCATGGCAGCACTTGCATTTGACACCTGTCCCATGGTAGTGAGGGTCTGAGCACATGGGCTGAGCAAGGCCCAAACCTGCAAAAGAAAGATGCCAGTGCTTTGAGAGCCCAGTCCTAGGCTGCCTGGCAGAAATTCATCTGTCCCAGTGCACGTGAACAAGGGAGGCTCTCCAGGCCTATTGCATGCAACCTGGTACACTCTGACCCAAAGTCATTCTTGTTCCACCCAGCCATCATTTCCTTCTCTCTTCCAGGCAACAGGAGAGTGTGTCAAGGGCACTTGGCTTGGTGCTCTCCCTGCTGATGTGGGGCTGGTCCTCTGCCTCCCCCAGCAGCACACAAGCCTTCCCACCACCCCAGTCCTCTCCACTCACACCCATATTCACTTGCTGAGACAAAATCCTCCATGGGCTCTAAAAGGTGACACTCAGGATGTGACTCTTTCATACAGCCAGGCCATCAGTGCAAGTTCATTTTCAGCTGAACCTGTGCAGAAAATACACAGCCAGAACACAGCCTTCACATGTTTGTCCCCCCCAGCTCTCCCATGGTGCCCCCCTACCCCCCCATTTCCCCACCAGGCAGACCCCCTTTGTGGCTTTTGGTGCTGTTTCTGTACTCCAGAGTACTGAGCTTTCTCTCTCCTGAGCTACCCCCATTCCTCCTACCTGGAATGATCCAATGCCCGGCTCTGTGCCACCATGTGTGCGTTCTTCCAGCAAAGGGCTTGGGCCATAAATGCATCTGCACTTGGCCAGGCCACGTAGAGCATGTGAGCTATCACCGAGATCTGTGTCCCTTGAGAGCAGCCTGGCTTGCTCTGAGGGGCTCCCTTCGCCCCAGCTTGTTGCTCCACCAGCTGTCACCCCTCCATCCCTCACCCTTGGGTCAGGACAGCATGAGGATACAGGCTGCTCCAGCAGAGCATTCCCATTTCTGCCTCCAGCATCCTGGATCGTAAGGACCATGGCCATGGGCCCACTTCTCACAATTTCTTCTTCACCTTCCTTCCTCAAAACAACAGCTCAGCTCTCCTCTTTCCTTCATCTCTTCACCTTCTGACTCCCCAGGACCAAGCCCAGGTTCTTGGAATCCCACACATCCCTGTCCCACAGTCCTCCCAGGAGCACACACAACTTCAGGCTCCCACAGCCTCAGTCTTCCCCCCTGAGATGCCCCCCTTGGTACCCCAACACCACTGTGTCCATCCAACGCAGCCCCCAGATCAGAAACAGGCACCAGCCTGGTCCTTCCTTGCTGTGCAGAGGTGACGACTGAGTGCTGGAGAGGGCTGTCACATCCAGGAGAGCTGCAGGAGGTCAGCAGATCCTTCTGGGAAAGGAGGCATCCAGGAGAGCAGCAGGGCTGCAAAAACTACAGGAGGGCTCGGTGCTGGGAAGGATGTGCCAATCCACCAGCTCTGCCCTGGAAGTGGCAGCTGGATAAATAACAGAAGAGAACCCCCACAGCAGAAAGCCATGCTGCTGTTTCCTCCTGCAAACAACTGCCCCGGGCATGCCAGAGCTGAGAGACAACTCAGGGGACGGGTGTGTGCTTTCATGTCCAGTTTTATTAGTGTTGCATTAGTACCATAAAATAGTTGACGAGGTCGAGCACGTTGCAGTTTGTTCCAAAAAAAAGGCTATTTACATTTAATCTGTCTTCATAAAAAACAACCCTAGAACCCAAACAATACAACAATGAAACAGATGGACAGCTCGGGAATCTACAAAGTGGTAACGTCCCCTCTCATGCCGCGGTCTGGACAAGCCTGGTGGCACGCAGCCCCAGAATTCAGGCGCTTCCCCACAGCTGGGGCACGTCCGCAGCCAGGCAGGCCACGCTCCGGCCACTGTCCAGCCAAGGCTGCAGCCAGCAGCTGACTGGATGTGGCCCCAGAACAGTGCTCTTCCTTAAGGAAACCAGCGACCTGCTGCTTTACAAGTTGGCACGTCCCCTTCTGCCCCAGTATGTCCCAAAGCACCAGAGTGATCCTTCCTGCAGGAGCCAGCCCTGCCAGGAACATCTCCCATGAGAATACCATTGAAGAGGCTCCAGGAAATCTCCAGGAGATGCTGCTGCTCATTTCTGGCCTTCTCCTGGCCAGGTTAAGCCCAGAGGGCATGTTACATTAAAATGCCACTACTCAAATATCTGCTGAAATCAAGACCGCCCCCGGATGAAGGGGACCCATCCAACCTGACTTCCAGAAATCTCCAGAGCTCCAAGCCCTTTACAGCTGCATGGCCCCACTGTCCTAATCCCAGCTTCCCAATCCCTTAGCACACCAGGTAGCAGGAAAAGACCACTGGTTCCGCTGCCTCTTGACATGATTTCCCTCTTAAATTTGGAGACTCCAGGTGCAACATCCTCTGCCCTGGCTCTCCAGTGCTCCCACCAGCACACGCTGCTGGTGAGAAACATGGCAGGGCCTTTGCTGCAATCACAGGTTAAGCACAGGGCAGTGTGGCTCCTGGCTGAGTGTGATGATGGAAAGCACACAGGCACATCTCCTCAGCCCCAGAAACCTGCCAGCCACCTACTCCTGCCCTCTCTGCAGGATAAAGCCACAAGCTTTATCTTGTGTTTTAACTAAAGCAGCAAAACACAGCCAAAGAGATCCATGGCTCTCCCCAACTCATGTGTAATTCAGGAGGGCTCTGCAGTCACCGCTGCGATGCGAAGTGTCAATTGAACTGGATGGGAACTGCAGCACGGAGCTGGAACAGCCACACGAGATGTCCCTGACACAGCAGTGCCACAGCAGAGCCAGCCCTGACTGAGCGCTGGCAGGGCTGAAGCCCAGCCTTTGTCTCCAGGAAACTCAAGCCAGAGGACCGGGAAGCGCTCAGGGTGCAACACGATGCCACAAACCCCTTCCATCTTTCATCTGCTCTCCGGAGCTGCTGAACTAGGTCAGCTCAGCGCGGAGCCAGCCGCTCCCAGAGCTCACCCCCGAGCCAGCCGGGGGCCTTGCCCACAGCAGCTGGGAAAGAAACCAGAGCTCTGAGAAGCCACAGCCAGAGGGGCAGGAGAGACTAGCCCTGTGGGGGGCTGGGGTGAGCTCTGGGACACAGAGAAAGGGACACAACAGAGGAGACACCACCTTCAAAGCACCTCCTGGCTGGAGATCCACTCAGGTGCTGCCCACCCCAGGCCCTGCCTCTGCTGTCAGACCACACAGCTCCAAAGCAAGCATGAGGGAGATAGCCCCCCTGAGTTTCTTCATTTGAAATGTACCTTCCCTGCCCAAACTCTCCAGAGCTGAACACAGAGCAGTGTTGTCTCTGCTCTAAGCCATCCTTCTGCACTCGCTGACATGGCCACGGCCACCAACCCCACGGGCTGGCACAGGCCCTCTGCTGCCCCAGAAACTTTTCCTCATCCCACACTGGTGATCCTTCAAGTCAGTGGAGCTCACTCCTGGCAATAATCTTCCCCAGAAACTGTGGGGAAGTTGGGAAACCTGAGATCAGTCACTCATTCATGGGACCAGACCTAAAGCTCCTTCCCAAAGCAGTCTGAGCCACGTGCTTTGATACTCATTTTTCTTAAGAGACAGAAACCTGTTTCTACTCCAGACAGGGAAAGAAACATCTGCACAAAGTGACTCCACAGGAGAAAAAAGAGGCACAACAACCTGATCAGAGCTGTGCCACCAAATTTGCATGCCAGCCCTTGTCTCCAGGGCCAGGAAACACCACAGCCACGCCATGGCACACAGCTGCCCACAGGCAGACCCAGCCTGCCTCTGCTGGACTCCCTTTGGGATAACAAGGCTGAGGAGTTGGGATGTTTTCTTGCATGGAAGACGCTGTGCAGAGCAACAACAGCTTTCCACACAGGGGAAATCAAGCCCTCAGGTGTACAGAGAGTCTCCCGATGAATTGCTTATATAAAGTTAGAACAAAACACAAACCAACATGAAATGCAACGAGCAGAAGTGTTCCTCTCACACCTACACACACACACACACACAGAGTACAGCAGGGCAACACACATTTGATAGGCAGGACTCTGGAAACCCCGTCCTAGCTACCACATTTTTTCTTTACAGTAGGTTGAAATACAAAGAGGAGCACAGTGATGGTTCTCCCCTCACCCCCCAGTAAACAAAGTTATTGCAGTCGATCAGTCCAACCCACCTCTGCAGCAGCAGCACCACCAGAGCTGCCCAGGCTGCCCACAGCTGGAACCCAGCCCAATCACCCTTGCCACACCAGCGTGAGATTCGAGGGAGAAATCACACACTGACTAATCTCCTTTACAAAGCTTTTTTTTTTTTGATGCAACAGCCTCAATAAAGATGTGATGCGCTCATACACCCTCTCCCACGCTGCTGCTGCTAGGCAACGCTGTACAGCCCCAGAGCATCAGCTCAGGTCACCCAAAAACATCAGCTGAGGGACACAACAACACCCCCCTACAGCCCAGCTTCTGCCACAGCCAGGAGCCAGCCCAAGGCAGGCAGGAAGAACAAAGAATTGCAGCTGGACGTGTGTCCTGCCCAGCAGCGTGCCACCAGGCTGGGGACAGTGTCCTCCTGCCTGTGTGGTTTGAAGGGAATACCCAGTCCCTGGCCATGTAGGGTGCCCTTGTGCTGGAAAAGGGTTTCATGACATCAGCTGGTGAAGCAGCCCAAGCTGTGACAGGCACAAGATGCAGCTCTCACCTCAGAACCTCCCTGCCAGCAGAGCACACCACCAGCACCTGCCCTGGGGACCCAGCTGGTCCCCACGTAGAGCAGGACCTGCCGTGCAGCGCAAAGTGCGTTCCCCAAGCCTTGGGAAACCCAAGGGTAAGGGATCAGGGAAAAAAAAAAAAAAAGAAAACAGCTGAAAAGCATCACTGCCCTCAGAAAGTGCCTTCTGGAAATGCTCACAGAGCCTGGCCTGCCCACAAGGGGGGACCCGAAAGGGCCCATCAGAAATTTCAGTCCCTTACCCTGAAATGCCAGAGATGTCTCTTCTTCTTCCACATGGCAACAGCACCATGCTCTGATATCCCACCCACCACCTGACAGAGCAGCCCGTGCCACCTCAGGTGTGCAGTGTGACACATGGGCAGGAAGGCAGCTGGACACGCTGAGTGCCTGGCTGGCTCCCAGTCCAGCCACTACAGTGATGCATCACTCCACAGACAACGGCTCATCTTCCTGGGTTTGTGGGGTTTTTTTTTGGCAAATTAATATTTTTCCTGTTACTTTTTGTTTTTATTTTATTTTATTTTTTTTAGAAAGCATTAAAAAAATCTGCAGCTGTTGAAAAAAATCCTTTCCCTTTCGAGGCTGGACGAGGTTTTATTGACAGGTAAATAATCGGTGTGAGTATGTAAATAGCAGCGACCCCACTGATGTGGTGCCCCTCAGCAGCACAGCCAGCTGGAGAACACAGAGAGTGGCCAGGTTTGGTCATTGTCAAAGACCTGGCACACGGGAGTTTCCTTACTTAGTGTTTCCCTAATTCCTGTTCCTGCCCAACCCTCCTGAGGCATCGCTTCAGCACCAACACCTGCCTGTGCCCGTGGCAGGCTCCGTGCTCCAAAGGGGATCTCCTCTCCAGACCTCCCTAACTCTGCAAGTGGCTTTGTTTTCCACACCAGACAGTTGAACTCCCTCCAGACTCTCATCCTTTGGCAGCAGGAAGAAAGACTGGCCATCCTTTTCTCCTAGAAATACAGAGCGGGGGCCAAACGCACCGTAACACACGTGATCTTCTGCGAAATCTGTTTGAGCTGATCCAGGGCTCCCCCAGCCCACTCACACCAATGAGGTCTCAGGTTAATAAGCAGTGCAGTTACTCAGCTATCTGCTCGTAAGTGGTAGGTGTTCTTGGGCAGGTTGCCTGCTCCTGCCAACTCCCCCACGACTTCACGTTGTCAGCACATCTATATTTAAGACTGGTTTGTTGGTTGGTTTTTTGTTTGTTTTTTTTTTGCCTTTGTTTAAAGGGGTTTCCTTCCTCTGTAGTAAACTTAAGAGTTAATAGAAAAAAGTAATTCAAAAGTAATCCAAGCACATCTGTAATTAATTCTGCAGGAGAGGGCAGAGAGACGCGAGTCAGAGTTGGCACGCAGGTCCTGGCTCCTGGTGTGCAGTCCTCGGGATGGGCAGAAGGTCCCTGCGCCGAGCACAGCTAGAAGTTAGATTTGGAGTGTCCAAATATGCAGATGGGAAAGTGCTTGACATGAGAGGACCACTGTGCTGCCAGCTGAAAGAACTTGACATCGTTCCACTCCACCCCATCGATCAGGACTGCAGGGGAGGGTAAAAAGAGAGCAGAGTTAGAAAACGCTGAGGGGAAGTGGCCAGCCTGAGGCAGCTCTGCCAGAATTCCCCTGCAGTCAGCAGAGGGAGGCCTGGCCATGCTCAGCTGCTCTGCCCCACTCAGCTGCACTCACAGGGAGAAAGGCTGAGGAGCACACCAGGTCTGGGGAGAACAGCTCAAGTTGTTGTTCCAGCATCACTCACTGACACCCCACACTGCTGATTTCAGTGTCACCTGATCTGGCTTCTCAGATTTCCTGAGCACACCTCATTTTCTTTTTTGGGCAAATGCACTCTTGCAGAGATGGACATCAGTCTCTCCTCACTGGCACTCTCACCAGGACATCCATGTCTCCCAAAGAGGTGACACATGTCCTGTGACCACCCCTCATGCCTGCCAGCCTCACAGGGATCAGGCCAGGATGAAGGAGGTGACCCAAGCAGGTCTCTCTGTTGGGGATTACTAACTGAACAGGCTACAAGGGTATTTTTGCTCCTGGATGCCCAGCTCCACTGACAGACACTTCAGGTCTGTCTATAAGATGCATATATGGCTCCTGCTGTGGCATGAGCATGTGCCAGTGTCCTGCCCAGAGGAGCAGCCACAATGTCACCACCTGCCACCAACCAACACTTGCACCAGATGTGCAAGAGAAGCAGGGGATGACAGAGAGGGGAATGGAGCCCTGTCCAACCCTTGTCTCCAGCCAGAGCATTGACTCAGAGCTAGCTAAAGGAGGCTTTTCCCACATCCCAGACCTATTAAAGCCTTCCCCCGTGCTGGACACACCGAAACCCGTTCCCCAGGAACATCCCCACCATGCTGGCTCCAGGGCACAGGGCAGGACACCAGCTCAGCCCTTTGCCTGGAGGACAATCACAGCATGTGAGCCTTGCCCCAGCACCCAAAGGGATGCAAGTGCTGCACTCACCACGCAGCATGTTCTGCTGATGTTTCGCTGTGCAAATCAGCCTGCTGATTCCTTCAATACACTGGCTCTTTGACTCAACCTCCTTGTCCTTTGTCTTCTTGGGCAAAAACATCACTGGAAGAAAAGCAAACCAGCACAAGGTCAATCTGTGCCATTCACAGGAGCTGAACTGATTCTTGTTTGAGCTTTTGCACTTACACATTCCTGTCTGAAAATTCTTACTCCTAAGATCTTCCCTTTTTGGCAGGAGTCTGTCAGTGCTGAGCACCATCAATGATGCACATGAGCATCTTATTCCTAAATGTCTCTTTGTGAAGACTTCCCAGCTCATAATCCTGACCCCAAAGGGCACCTTCCTCTGTTGGGACACCATGCAGGGAAAACAGTGCTGCATCTGCAGCACTGCATCTGTAGTGCCAGGCCTGCTGCACTGACTCTGGCCCAACAAAGCCTGGGCTGCACAGACACCTGGACAGCAGGAGGGATTACAAAATGGGGGCAGCTGGTGGGTAGGGAAAGCATAAGGAGAAGTAAAAAAAGGTCCAGCTCCCCAAGAACTGTCCAAATGCATGAGCAAAGATGTACAAACTGGTTTCACAAAAGCTGGTGGTGTTGAACACCTCTGCTGCAGGCTGGGTCATCCCCAGGGAAGAACGTTTGGAGTGTCTCAGGATTGCCTCTCCCAACAGCACGACACGTACAAAGGTGTCACCAGGGCTGGCAGCTCCAGCACCAGCAGGGCCACAGCTGTGCTGGCCTGGCAGTGAGCTGGCTGCAGGGCTGTGCACCCATGTCCTGCAGCCCAGGAGGCCCTGCCACCTTTCTCTCAGAGTCCACCAGGAGTGACTCCCAGGCCCACAGGCAGAGGATGTTGTGAAGGACAACTACTGGCAGGCAAAATGTAAATGCAGAACTGCCTCGTGCTTCCTTTAAAATAATTTGTTTCAGAGCTGTTCTCAATTTCTAAAATGTTTCACATTGCCAAGGCCAGGAGCAAATATAAAATCAGTGACAACATTCAAAATGCCATTTTGTTAGTCTGTTTTGAGAAAGCAAAGACACGAGTTTAAGAGCAGGAGAGTATTTATCTTCTACTTTCTTTTGACCCACAAAGCATTCTGTGCAAAAGCATAAGAATTATAAAATCATGGAATTGCTGAGGTTGGAAAAGATCTCCAGGGTCATTGAATTGAACTGCTAATCTAACACTTCCAACTGCATCCCTAAACCATGTCCCCAAGTGCCACATCTATACATCTTTTAAATACCTCCAAGCACGGAGGGATGGTGGCTTCACCACTGCCCTGGGCAGCCCCTTTTAGGGCTTCACAACCCTTTTGGTGAAGAGATTTTTCCTAAGAGCTAATCTAAATCTCTCCCTGGCAAACCTTGAGGCTACCTCCTCATGCCCTGTCTCTCATTACCTGGGAGAAGAGACTGACTCCCACCTTGCTCCAATCTCCTTTCAGGTAGTGGTAGGGAGTGACAAGGTCACCCTGAGCCTCCTTTTCTCTAGGCTGAACACCCCCAGCTCAGCTGCTCCTCCCAGGACTTTGCTCCAGGTTCTGAATCCCCTCACTGGCTCTTGTGGGGTGATGGGTGCAGGAGGAGGGTGGGAGGCCCCAGACTGCAGTTCAGGGGGTACTCCTGTTTTATCACCTCACAGGGATCTGTGACACTTGCTGGGCTTTTGTTTTCCCTTACACACCTCTTTCATTCTCTGTGGCTCTTTTGAGCTAAAGGCTCATACGATGGGGATATCATCCCAGAAAGTAAAGCTATCCCAAGTTTCCAGCACACTGTCAGAAAGGAGGGGCTCATTTACCCTCACTGGTGGCTGGGGCACAAACTGCCTCTTATCTAATCCAATATCCCAACACAGCACTAGCAGGCTCCCAAGGAACACAGGGAAATTGTCCAGGCATGGCCTTCTGCATGTCCTTGTCCTGTCCCCACCTTTGCCCTTTTGGGCTATACCATCTTGGCTTCAGCCATCAGGGTGAACACATCCCCTTTTCACCCCATGCAGAGGAACCACCCTTTCAAACCCTATCACTTCACACAGTAACTCTTCACCAACTGATCAGGATTTTGGGGATAAAGATAGGACTGAGGTGCTGTAACCCAGCACTGACAAGTCAGGCAGCTCTGGAGCAGCAGACAGGGAACAGAAGGACACCTTACCTTTCTTGTTCTTTTCTTTTGTCACAACAGTCATGGACATGGTTGGCGTGGTGGCGATCTCGCCGCTGGCAGGTAACCTGCTGACCTGCAGGGACCGGAAAGTGCATTTCAGTGTGTTTTTGGTGGTGGAGGGGTCCTTCTTCTCTGGGTCTCTCTTCCTGTCCACGGGTGGAGCTGCAATCCAGTAATCCACCTGCAGGCCCATCAACTCAGCACCGAGGCCCTGGCTGGGAAACAAGAGGAGGGGGTAATTCCTGTGTGCCTCTCAGCAGGGCTTTGTCAGAGTGGCTGCATTGCTGCTCAGAGGATAAACAGCTGGCTCTTTGGGCAATCAGGCAGTGACATTTCATAGTGAGACTCAGCAATTATAGAAGCCCAAGAGTTCACCCCTGAGAGATGCAGCCTGGGTCCCACTGCACAGAACCTCAGTGAGCCCAGACAAGCTGACCTGCTGCAGTCACAAGGGCGAGCAGTGGGAAAGGGAGCACACAAGCACTTTCCTTAGTGCTGAGTTCTGTGACACAGCAGCAAAGGCAGCTCCTAAGGTGGCCCAGATTACTTCATCTTTGAGTGGGGAAAAGAGGCTGTAAGCACCTTGCTGCTGCCCCCTGAGCACTGATGAGTGACTCTGTCCAGGCACAGCACTGCCAAAACCAACTCTTAGCTGGGGTAAACAAAGACTTGGCAGGTCCCTGAACATCAGGCACTCGCTCCCCAGTCTCCCTGACTTACTTCTTGCAATTGCCTATCCCCAAGCCTTACCACTTACTGGGGAATTCCACTGTTGGAAAAAAAATGTTCTGTTAGCTCTGTGACATTTGCTAAACAACAGCAGATTTCAGGATATGCTCTGTTGTTGAAAACTCCTGTGCATCATGTGGTAGCAGCTGTGCATCACCAAAACATGCTGCCAGCCCTTTCTTGAGCCAGCAAAGGTAAGATGAGAAGTTTGGGAAGCTCCAGCCCTTTCCTGCCCCTGCCTCTCAGTGATAACCCTGAGGGGAGCAGGGCTTCACCATTCAGCAGACCTACAAGTGACAGCCTATACTTATTCCTACACAGCGCTGAATAATACACAAGTACTAGACAAAAACCTAAATTTATCTACCAGTCTGTGTCCCCAGTTTGAGAAATGGCAGTTGTTAAGGAAGACAAATCTGTGATCTTGAATGAAATATGCATCCCTCTGCAGCACCCGCCTAATAAGGAACTCAAGGTAAAACAAGGACGCCCCATCCTTACAGTCCTCTCAGCAAATAATTTCCTTTTCTTTGCCATTTATTCAGCTAAAAGTCAGACCGCAGAGCAGAGTTCATCTTTGATGACTAAAACCAGGTTTTTGGTTCTCAGGACAGTATTCAAAAGTGAGATTCTTTAAGGATGATGCTTTGGAGATGCTGCTTTGAGTTGTAAGGCTCCTTTGCATCACATTTCTCAACTCAGTCATAAAGACAAAGCATCCCAATGTTCACCAGGCCCAGGCAATATTGTATGTTCCTTTCCCAGTTAAACACACGGCTTAATCAATCAGTTTGGGTCACCCTCCACCCCCTGTGCTGTCACTTACAGAGCAGGGGAGATGGAACAATGTTGAACCTGCACTTCCTCATTTTTTGATGATTTTGCCACACAGAATGAAACAAAAAAGAACCACATTCCTAGAGCTGGGGTGTCAGTTTCAGATTTATCACATCCATGGCTCACAGCTTTAATACCCTACGCTCTTGGGGGCACCAGTTTCCAAACCACTTCCACTTTTGGAAAACCCATACACAAAGATCACACTCAAGAATTCAGCTCTGCTCCCCGGAGCCTGCCCAGCCCCCAGCTCTCTGCACTGCCAGCCAGCTGCTTCTGGGGCACACAGGGCTCTCCTGCCATCCAACCACAGGCACACACCAGGAGGGGCCTGGGGAACTGGGCCCCAGGCACAGGTGAACAGGCACCTAAACTGGCACTTTCACACCTCCACTGCCTCCTGTTAAAAGGGAACTCTTATGCCACTTCAAGAAGTCAGAGGTTAAAGGTCACTGCAGGGCACCCTGGGTGGGATGAAAGGTCCCCACCCTGTCTCCAACAGGGACAGCAGGGGATGCTACTTTGGGAGAGCACATAAGCTCAGCCTCAGGGCATGCCACAGCCTGACAATCACAGGACTGGGGATGCTAGAGGGGAGGTCCCTGAAACATCCTTCAGTAGCCATTAATGGATCTGCTATCCATGAATCTATCTGACCCCTCTTTGATCTGCTGATGCTGCTGCCACAGAAGCAGCAGGGGCAGATGTGGTCCCTTCCTCTCTCCCTTTTAACTGAGCTCTTGCAGTGTCACTGTGTGCCTGCAGCTCTCATGCCACAGCTCCAGAGAACCCCAGAACTGCTGGTGTTGGAAGAGACCTCTAGAGGTGACCCAGTCCAACCCCCTGCCAAGGCAGGGTCACCTGGAGCAGGTGATGCAGGGATGCATCCAGGTGGGTTTGGGACGTCTCCAGAGAGGGAGACTCCACAACCTCCCAGGGCACCTGTCCCAGTGCTCTGCCACCCTCTACAAACCCAGACCCCCCTGACTTTGCACACCTTGAGTGGCTTATTGCTTTCCTCTGCTCTCCTAAACTGCAGAGTCCAAATGCTTCTAGTTTCCCCTTCTCACAAGACTGCTGCTATGTTCCCTTAGAGGCTCAGGGGAGTTACCAAAATCAAGGGGCACTTACCCAACTGCCTCTGAGTACTAGAGCTGCACACAAAGTTAGCTACACCAATGTTTTGTGCAACAACAAAATGAAGAGTCCTGGCCAGGGCAAGTCTTACTGGCAGCTTTCTAAGGGTTTCTTCCCTTCACCCCCAAAAATTTAGTTTTCAGCTAAACCAGGGCTTAGTATTACCTGCAGGTGCAGCCCCCTTGCTGTTCAGATATGCTTTCAGGCACACACATGAATGGGAGCTGCAGTTCTACCTTGCAACTGCCAGCATGACCCTCAGAGAGAAAGTCATCAGCTCCTTCAAAAGTCACTCTGTCCTTCCACTCACTTGCCATTACAAACACAACAAGCACGAGGGATTAGCCTGGCACCCACGTGTACTTAGAGTCAGTACTTTTTTGAATACCTATCTTCCCAAGAGAATCCTGCCCTTGAGACATGCAGCCGTCCCACTAAGTGCAAAATCCCCCCTGCCCTCCCCAGCCCCTTGGCAGCCTCAGCAAGGACACAGTCACTCCAAAGGCAAAAGGGAAGGGAAACGGTGACACCTCCAAATGTTTGCCAGGGATGAAGGAAGAACTATGGGTTTTCCTCTGGAGTTCTCTGCCACGTGTATGCCAGGTAAGCCAGCCAATGGAGCTGTAAGGAGACAAAACATGGCTTACCTTGGGGAGAAGCTGCCTGTAACAGATGGTGAGGAAGGGGGCGTGGGGGAGGCTTCTTTCACAGCAGGAGACACGGAAGGCGGAGTGGAAGAAAGGACTACGGAACTTGAGGGAGCCGCGTCATCAGAGTCACCTTAAAAAAAGGAAGTCAAACTGTTTGTCTGGGTTTGTCTCACAGCACAGAACACTGGGATAAAGCTCAATCTCCTTGTCCACGCTCCTGCTGCACAGCTTTTGTTCAGATTCAATCCAGAGGTCAGCTGGCCCATCAGTTGACGGGCTCCTCACTTCCGAGGGGCTCTGTACGTGTGGTCGGAGACAGGCACAGACACTGACACTCCTCGAGGCTCCTCCTTTGGCATCTGCTCTCCTAGGGTTTGCTCCCAGCTGATTTTGAGCCTCCTGCACACAGCCCAGCCCACTGATCTCCTTCCTACAGGGAATCTCCCCCTGCAACCACTGCAGGGCAGCACCACTCTTGGAATCCAGCACCTCTGGGCGACCACAGGGATCTCCCCATTCCATCTGCCTCCACAACCAAGCTTTCATCCCCTTCCTGCTGGCCCTTTGGGATGGTGGGAGCACTGTGGCAGCAAGGAGTGACCCACAGAAGGGCTGCCTCCATGCACAAACCTGTGTGTCACCCAGGCCACAAGAATCTGGGTTTGACAGTGAAGCAAAACAAGAAACAATCCCAACACAAGGAAAAAAATATTCCTGTGCATATGAAGGAGAAAAAAAGCAAGTTCACATTGACAAAACATCACCACTGCATGTCTGTGTATGTAAGCAGACAGTATCCTTCTGCATATCAGCTTTGCACTCCCCCAATAAAAAATAAACAGGTCTAAAATTTTGCCCACCCTGAAGTTCCCAGGCACTGAGATCAATTTCATTCAGCAACTGAGCCCATTGCAGGGAGACAGCATGAACTTCTGATGAACTGCCTCCTCAGGCTGAAGCAGGAACCTCAAACAAGTGTAACAGTGAATCCACCCCACTGACCACGTTAGAAAAATGGCGTTTGCACAAACGTGAGAGTACAGCTTCCCTGGATGTAGGTGTGGGAATTTCAGCTGGTTTGAAGCTCCATGCAAAGTAACAAAGAAAAAAGGGCTTCTCCCAGGAGAGAGGGCTCTCTTTCTGCAGACAAACCACTGGGAGCCAATAAAATCCAACTCCACCTCCCAAGGCATCAGCAATGAATGAGTCTGCTCAGCCTGTGAGGTGAGGCTCCTGCTGCTGCAGGACACAGAAAGCACACACAGGATGTTCCTTACCTGATGTTGCAGAAGATTGTTCCACTATTCCAACCTTCACCACCTAAAGGGGGCAAAACAGAAGAGCTCTATCAAACAAGAGCCCCCTGAACTTCAAGAATCCAAACCCCAGCACTGAGCTCATCTCTGCACTCTCCATGGCACTGTCCCTGCAGTCAGAGGAACTAAGAAGTCCTCTAAGAGCCAGGCAGGTCCTGGCAATGTCCTGGCAGTGCCAGCTCACAGCCCTTACCTGACCCACACAAAGGACAGCACAGTTCCTGCAGAGCTGTCACAGACCTGCCCAGCTCTGCACAGCCCACCAGCTCCAAGCTGTGCCAACTACAGGGAGGAGAAAGGTCAGAAATACCCCTTCAGCACTGCTTTGATGCACCTGCAAATTACAGACATGCTGCTTCCACTGTTCAGAGCAGCCACTTCCAGGGTGCAGCATAGCTGGGGTTTGTTAGGAAACCACAGAAGCAACAAAGTACAATTTCTGATCAGAGTTATCTATTCTCTAAACAAGGGAAGTGTCCAACAAAGAAGATAAAGCCCCTACCAAAGCCTCTGGAGGCAGACAGGGACAAACCACCACATGGACAGGTCAGAACGATCCAGATCACACTGTAATAAGGGCACAAATGTGTGTGGCCAGTCACCAGCTGGTACATCAAGATTAATGATAAATGTCACTGGCAATAGCTTGTGGAACAGAACATGCTGCAAACAAACTCCCAAGAACACACTATGCCTAGAAAGATAAACTGGCCCTTGGTGATATAAAAACAGAGACCTTCTGCAGTGATAATCTGCTATGGTACAGAGGGATCATCACTCTTAACACTGCAGAGAAGAGAGGCTTTTTAAGGTCCTTAAGAAACTTGTCTCCAGGGCTAATGTCTACCCTACACAAATGCTGACAAATGGGAAAGAGCTGCCAAGGGAGCTCGGGTCAATAGAAACTGCTTTAGAATGAGCAACGATGTCACACAGGCTGTGTGGTTTGAAAACAGAAGGTCATTAAGTTCAGACACGACCACGTCTGGACCACATCTCTAGGGAGCACGTTTCTGTAATACACAGTCCAAAAAAAAAAAGAAAAAGAAAAAAAAAGTTAATTCTTAGAAGCAAAACACTTTGCAGAATTTGGAGGGCAGGGAGATGTATGCTCAACAGTAGATTTTGGAGAGTTGTCAGGCTCTCTGGTGGATTCTCATTTAGATCCAGTCTTGAAAAAGCCACCATGAACTCAGCAGTGTGTACACAGGCTTCCTGGGGGCTCACTGGCTTGCGAGAAGGAGGCTGCAGCTCAGTTTGGCCAGTCTCCACCCAAAAGGCAACAAGTTAGGCTCTGGAGTGCAGCAGCCATTTGTGCTTTATGTGTTAAACGCCAAGAGAATGTTCCACAAACTGTCACTGGCTGTGAACAAGGGGAGCAGGGTTAGGGGATGGACAAGCAACACAGAAAACTGCCTGCAGCCACTCTGGTCTGCAAGCCAGGCAGGAAATCTCTTCTGGCTTTCCCTCCTTGCTGGCTGACTGAAGATGCTCAAGTTCAGACACATGGGAGGAACACAAGGTTAAACACTTTCCCTTCCCTCCACTCGGGGAGGTGCATGAGAACACTGCAGTTCCAGCAGGCCTCCATCCAGGAAAGCAGCCAGCCCCTGTCCCTCCACGAAGAGGCACATCCTGTTAACTCTCCTGGCAACTGGCTGTCAGCCCAAGGCAGCCTGAGCCTGGCTTTTGTGCCTGCCTGGCCCTTTGTGAGGCTCCACTCCCATCACTCTGAGCCCAGCTGAGCAGCATGGCACTGCCCTGCCCATTTCTGGGTCAGAGACTGCACAGTCCAGCTGCAGGACACCAGGTTTTGCACCCAAAAGCCAAGAGTGCAGCCAACATCAGGTTGCAAACCCAGAAGTCACTGGCTCCCTCTCTTCCTTGTCCAACAGCTCTGAGCAGGCTGCAGCTGAATGGAAGAGCCCCAGTGCTCATGTCCAGCCTCAGACTTTGTGAGACACCTGCAACTGGCCTTTCACTCTTTCCAGATGTGTTCCACAACTGTGTCAGGAATGCTTCAGAATCAGGAGCAAGCAGACTGATTTGACCCTCATCACCAGTGACACAGGAAGTCAGTCTGTGCTTTCAAGGCAAGTTTTTTGGGGGGGTTGGCAATGGTATGTACACAACAAAGCAATTCCACCACTTTCAGATAATCAAATCCAGACTGGAAAAGCAGTGCTAATGTCAGGACGACAATCATTTTAGAGAAACTGGACAAACACTCTGAGCTCCATTTGCTTGCACAAAATACAGGACTAAATCAGTCCTGAAAAATAGCTTGCAGAGCCCACCAACAGTCTGGGATATTCCAAGTCCTGCAGGCTTTCCATGTTACTGGGAAAGGTGAAACATCTGTTTTGTAAGAACAGTCCACCACTAGAAATTGCTATGAACTAGAAAAGTTCATGGGAGATACAAGTTCCCAGCAAAGCTCATCAGCAGGGCACAAACTGGGGAGATGAGTCTCTCCACCTTTGCAGAAGGCATCTCTCCATCAGCAAACAAAAGCAGATTGTCACCTCAGGAATACTGCAGAGAGACACTCTCACTATGAGGAGACACCAGAGTGAAAGCAGGGTCAGCCTGAGGGCAGAGAGACTAAGCTCTTTAAATGCCTTGGGATTTCAGAGGAGCTCTGACGCACCGCAGGGGCACAGAGGGGACACAGAGGGAACCTGTCAGCATCACACCAAGCAGGCACAGCAAGGCCAGCGGGCAAGACAGCAGCAGGAACTGGGAAGAGGACATCCCAGAGCTGAAGAGCAGCCAAGGGATTTCTTCTGGCTGCAGCTCAATGACTTTACGCCTAAAACTTAATGAATTGAAGAGTGTGATCAAATAAGGGGAGGGAAGCTAGACAAGGTAAAGAGCACACAGTGCACAAAATACAGAGACAGAAGAACAAACACGGCCCTGTCCAGACACTCTGCACCTCAGATGGGAACACTTAAGGGCAGAAGGAAAAACGAGGGACTATCCCAAATAAGTAACAGTGGTAGAAATCGCCTTCCTGCCAGGTTGTACTCTTTACTTCCCAGGAACAGATGGGATGCTAAGAGGATGGGAGACCATCAGTGACAAGCATGCAGAGAAATGACACGGGAATAGCAAATTTGGCCAAAACAAGCAACCAGGGCAATGCTAGGCACAGCATCCCTCTGATCAGGTTTCCAGGGACACATCATACTCCTGTCTGAGAAGTAAAATACACCCTCTAGTTTGTTGAGGTGTCTTAGAGGTTTGCTTAAATATCAGGTAGCTGCATCCAACCATCAGGACAGATTGTCATGCTGATCATCTGCCTTAGAGCACCCAATGGCTTCTGCTCAACTCCAGAAACCTGGCAGGCTTAGGTTAACACCTGAGAACATATTCCAGCTTGCTTAAGACAGCATCACCACGATAACACTCACCCCGACAAAGGGAATGAACTTCTGTGAAGATTCTTCATCGGGGCTAAAGGCAAAGAGAAGAAAGTTGTTAGCAGCTCGCCTCCACCCCGGCACCATACTCACTCCATAGGTCGCATTCCAGCATGCAGCAGGGACGGACAGGATGCAAGCGCCAGTCCAAGGCTCCTTCGAGGCCCCCTGCCAGCAGCAGGAGCCTGCAGGGCGGGAGGAGCACAGCCTACAGCAGTCTCTGGGGGAAAGGCTCTTCCTCCCTCCCTCGCGCTCCACAGAGAAACATGCTTGGATGGCATGGCAGTCACCACAGACACACGGCCTGACCTGTGCCACCACAACACAGAGCACCTGGTGTCGTTACTTACTGGAACGCGAGGCGCTCTGCCCGCGGCCTCCGGCGTCCCCCCCTGGAGCCGTGTGCCACCGCTTGCGCGTCCCCGAGCAGCGGCCCTGCCGCGGGTTACAGCCGTGACACGCGGTTACCGGCGAAGCAGCGGCACGGACGCGCCCTCGCACACCCTCCCCGCTGCTGCCGGCTTCCGCGGGCACGCCTGGCACCGGGGCACGCAGCCACAGCCGGACCCAGCCCAGCAAAGGGCACAGCAGTCCCAGAAGCAGCTGGAGACAACACCGCACACATCTGGAACGCCACTCTGCTCCGGGCCCCGCCAGGAAGCAGAGGGTGGAGAAAGGCCAGCAATGAAGGCCACAGTCAAACCCAGCAGGAATCAGGGGGAGATTCGGCAAAGACAAGAGGAGGAAGAGATGAATGAGGAGGAAGGCAGGCCAGAAGGGCCTGCAGAGCCATTGCTCCCTTCAGTGGCAACAGAGACCAGAGACGGACCACAGCGTGAGGAGAAGACCACAGGAGCACATCCACGTGTTTGGAGGAACCACAGTTCAGCAGAGGGAAGTGACTGCACAGGCAAGACACACATTTCTCAGTGACTGAGCACAGGAAACAGGTAGGAAGCAGACAAACACTGAGACTTCTCATGTTTCTCTTCCTGTGCATCCCCCAGTGTTTAGAAAAATCCATCCAGCATTACTTTAATCCAGAATTTAGCTGGGAGTAGCATAAATACTGCAGGTGTTTCTGTGCTGTTTCCAGCACGAATCAGAAATGCACCAAATGCACAAAGGTGTTAACCTGTGTGATCAGCACAGGCTGGACACTTTCCTCTAAGTCCCAAGGAAAGGATGCCATAAAACTGCAGTGAACATGACTCAGCCAGAGCTCCCTCTGGTCCAAAGCAGAACATGATTTTGCAAACAGCCTTTTGCTTTGGCTCAGCTCTGCTGATCCATCCTTAAGGCAAAGCCAGGGCCTTTGCTCCCTTCCTCCACACCCTCTGGCACTGCACCCTCGCTGTCCTCCTAAAGCACAGGACAAAGTGACCAAGTCCCTGATTCCATGCTGGAAGGTAGGAAGGTCCCATCTTTGCAAACACAACTCAACTGCTGGGCCCAGCAAACACATCTCCTACAAACAGGACATTTCCAGCTCCAAGTGAAAGGAGAAAACCACAGAGCTGTTGGGAGAGGCACAGAACAGAGGCTCAGCTCTCTTCTCTTTCCTTCAGCTCCATGGGCTTGGAGGCTGGCAGAAAGTGAGTCCCACTCACCAAGGGAGGGAAGGACCACAGCCATCCAGTCATCTCTCAGCTACTGGATGGCTTTGCTCCGAGCTCTGAACAAACCAACCATGTCCAGTTCCAGCAGAAAACTCATTCTCGTTCCCCTGGGAGCTCTGATTCCCACTGCAGAGAGCTCAGGGGCAACTCTGAAATACATCATTTGCTTCAGCCACCATTTATCACAGCTCACAGCGATGCACAGGCTGTTCCTGAAGCAATCCAGCTGGATTTCAGCTCAGCTAGCCTAGTCCTGTCATACGTCCTCCTGGGAACTCTGCTCTTGCACATGTGTCTCTGGAAATGCAGCTTATCAAAACAGTTGCTCTTCTTGTGGATCAGAGAAAAGATGACATGACCGTGCTTGTTCTTCATTTCCTCCTTCATGCTCTTCCCAATTTTTGTTCTTCAGGATCTCAAGATCCCAAAACATGAATTCAGAATCCTTTCACCTTGGTAACAGCTGCTTTGATTCTTCCTCCTACCACAGTCCTGCAACTGAAACATCTCCCATCTCTGAAAAGGCAGCTTCCCCTCATTGCCTCAGCTGCACAGATTCCCAGGCTGCAGAGGGTTAACCCCACATGTCCAAGGCTTTTTTTTTTTTTTACCCACAGGGCTTCTGAAGGCTGTGGTACCTCAGCTGTAATATAAAGCCAGACCTGGCCCAAGTTTGTGATTTTTAGCAGTTATTGATGTGTCTACAACAATCTCTCTAACCAGAAGGGTCGCAGGCACCACCTTTATTCCACTCAAGTCCTGAAGGAGGCAACAGAAAAGAGGAACTTCTGTCACTGAAGGACTGGCAGGACTCTGGGCCATTTCAGGCCAGGCACCAGCACCACCAGCTCCTCACTCAGCTATGACATGAAATCTGTCCTGCCCACTGGGCAACTCCAGCTGTCTGCTGGCTAACACTGTCCTGCTTCCACCAGGGCCAAACCAAATGAGGGACAAAGCGGCACCAGGTCCTCATGACACATCAGATGAATCTCCTCTCAGCCTTCCCAAAAACCTCCTTTCCAGCACTCTTCACTTTGCTGTGGTGGGCTGGACATAATCAACAGGACATCCATAATTTCTTGAGCCTTGACTCTCCTCTGCTGTACTCCTGTTGCATTTCCAGAAGCTGCCCAAGGAGTTTCCTGCAGTAACCAGCAGATCAGATGAGCTCTGCTGAGCCAGAGGAGGGACCAGGCCCCTCTTGGCCAGCCGGATTCACATCCAGCAGCTGCTGCAGGGTGTGTTTGAGGAGAAGCACCCAGAGCAATGACCTGGACTCTGCTCAGCCACTGCCCTGCAGGGCCTCTGAGACACACAGCAGGCAGGATCAGTGTAACCTGTGCTTCCTACTGCCCAGGAGCCCTCCAATCCAAAGGAACTGGGAGCAAGAGCTGGGGAGTGCTCCCAAAAGCTTTTGGTAAACACGCAACTAGGCAGGCAGTGATCCAGCCCTTGCCCTGACAAGTGAACAAAGCTTCCATTTCCAACAGCCAGGCTGCTCCCCAGATTCATGCAAGGGCTGTCCAGAAGCCACAGGGCATGAGCTGTGCTGGGCACTGAATTACAGTGGGTGACACCAGCCCAGCAAAGCAGCTGCACTGGGAATGTGTGAGCGCTGACTCTCAGACCTCAAATGCCACAGTGCTTCTTTCAAGAAAGCAGTGCAGAGAGACATCAGTGACATGCCCCTCCTGGTGAGAGGCCCACCCCATCCCCAGAGTCTCAGCTCCCCAGGTGTTGCCTGGATTGCACTGTTCCTTCAGAATTCAGTAACCAGGATTTCTCCCAGAGCTCACAGACAGAGTCAGTCACCCAGTGTAACTCAGAGGAGCTGCAATGGCACTCCATTTCCTTCGTGAACCCCCTTCCTCACAGCCAGCCCCTCTGCTTTCAGGTAAGGTCAGCAGATGCTCCAGAAGACCAGGACAAAGCTTTGGCACCATTGCAGTCCATCACAGGCAGTTCATGCGCCAACCTTTGCCATGACAAACAGAACAAGGGCACGGGGAGAGAGCAGGGTCAGTCAGAACAGGGACAGCTGGCAAGAGAGTTGTAAAGCAGCTCACCACATACAGCTACATCCTAGAGGCTGGCTTGGCTTTCCTTGCACTACTAGGACTTGTTTAACAGAGCAAATGTCAGGATTCTGGGAGATATCTTTTGCAATGAATTTGTAGGTGGTGCTGCTTGTTTCTACCTGGACCACTGCCTTGAAAGCTGGCCTTGGAGAAGCCATTCACCTCTGGCCTCAAGGGGGAGGGAGTTGCAGTAACTTTGTGTGCTGAATACAAAATAAAAAATGCCCAATATCATATGATGCAAAGCAGGGGACCCTGCAGAGCATGGGGGTTTTGGAGGCAGCTCAGACAGCACAGCTCCACTGCTAGCACACATCTGCCTTCTTTTGTAAGCTTAGAGAAGTCCCACATGTTTGGGATGCTCTGCCAGTAAGAGGCTAGTCCTCAAATTTTTGATTACAGGGAGGAGATTTGCTGGTCTGCACTTGGACACTACACAGCTGATCCCCACCCTGAGGCACTGAGTGCCACCTACAGCACTCCAGTTCCAAGAGATGGGAACTGAAAAGCCTTTTCTCAGTCCTGATCCTTCTGGAGCTACACTCTATCTTCTGATGGCTAAGGGAAAAGGCAAGGAAAAAAAACCCACCTTCTCCATGTTGTACTGCTCTAAGCTACTCTCTGAACAACTCCTTCATTCCCACTCAATCTATATCCTGGGAACCCAAATGTGTGATCCAAAGGCAGAGCAGTCACTTTCAACGATGCACTCTGCCAGCAGATGCCATGGTTTCAAAGCAGTGAGCAGAATTAAACCTAAAGCACAAACTGTGCATCCCAGACCTGCAGGAGCTGTTAAACAAGGCACAAATCACCAGTTCACTGGGAAAAGAGAGAGGAGCTGGGAGAGGGAACCTAAAAAGAACTGATACCTTATGGTAAAATCAAAATGAAAGCTCTTTTTCCTTTTCAGCAAGCAACCAAAGAAAAAGATAAATGTGTTATTATACTTGCAACAAAGTGATACATTTGTTTAGATAGTGCTAATGGAGACACAATTACTGTGTTGTTTTTAACAACACCCTTCCTAAGTTGCTGCCAGTGACAGAGAACCCCATTCCTAAAGGAAGGCACACAGGACACAACTGCCCATGCCCTACTGAGAGCCTCGTACTCACTGTCCTTTGCTCATGGGGCACTGACCTGAAAGCAGAAGTTATTTTAAGGCAGACACACAGAAATACTGAGAGATTGCAGGTTATATCAGAGTGTGAGCATGAGTTTCAGCAATGTCTCTTCCCAATAACCTCCTAAATGAAAACTAGGAACAGTTCAGGCGTGGCATCAGAGTCCAAAGGGTGTCAAACCCAAACGGATCAGACCAGCCTGGTAACGCAGTCCTGTACGCTGCTGGGAGGGATAAGGGTTGCTCAACTACATTTCTGCTCTTTTCAAATGCTGAATTGACCTTCTGGACACATTAGAAACTCAAAACCTTTAAATGTGTGATAATGACAAAAATGAAGCTGTAACAGAATGGAGGAGGCAGTGGAAAGCAGTGCAGAACCCAGCACCTGAAGGGTGCAGAGGAAGAACCAGGCAGCCTCAGAAGGGATTCCCACTGCCCTGGGTGTCTGAGATCCCTGCTGGTAACCAAGGTAAGCCTTCACACCGAAAACAAGACGCCAAACTGAAGGCAAGAGCTTCAAGTGCTCTGTAGCTCTTTAAATTTCATCCTTATTATCATGTTAACTTTAACAGAAGTCCACAAATACATGAAGAGACCAGACTAGTCTCTTTTACTTGACTAGTCAGTCTGGAAATACAGGAAATACAGGTAGAATGGGTGAAATTTCACTGAATCATTTCTGCACAGTAATATGAGAGCAGACAGGAATTCCACAGCAATGCAAAAGCAATATACAATGAGAATTTCCAAAAAGAAGGAGGGAAAGTGATGCTACCCACACTTTCAATTTCTCAAATTCTTAGGCAAAGGAGATGCTAATAAGGGATGTTAATGGACCAAAAATGAAAAATCAAATAGAAGTAATTAAAAATTAACAACATCCATGTCTCATAGGGAGTTGTTAGTCTCTAACTGAGGAGACTCACATCAACTGAGTTCAAATCTATCATTCTCCTCTGTCCCTCGATAACAGTGCTTCTCTACCCCTCAGTGACAGTTACTCTTCTTCCTGGACTATAGCCACAGGAAGCCCTACCTACTCCTGAATCTTGTTTTCAGGCCCCAGTCCTCCCTCCTACAGCCTGCTTATCCCTTAAGAAAAGTTGAAATGAAATCTGGTGAATGTCAGCCCTCCTCAGCAGGAGTCCTGGCAGCTTGCAACTGCCAATCAATAAGGATTTTGTCTCTCCTGCAAGAAGCTCTGCTATTTACACTCCAAAAAGAAAGGGGCTTAGTTCCTTAAATGCCAATGTAAAAAAGGTCAGGTCTCACAGAAGATACTTTGTGGGAGAATGCCACGGTCAAGTCTTACACACCTAAGGTCTCTGTGGTGAGAGATCTCTGGAACCTAAGCACATAAAACCTGTCCATCCCCATCCTGCTTAGCCTGCACTTCCCCAAACCTCTTAGATCTTCACAAAACAGAATCTCTGCACCTAAAGTAACCCTGCTGCTGTAGATTCACTGAGTGGGACACACCACTGGGTGCAGGCTCCCAAGGGCTTTGCTGTTTGGTTTTCAGACTGTTGGCAAGACATGAGAAAAGCACTTTGTTCTCAAGCAGCTGCTCTGCTGGGAGCCAGCAGGACGAGGGGGTCATACCTCTTCTGTTTGTAGGTCAGCATGGCTTCAGCAATGGGCAGCTGGTGAGCACAGTTTGCCCCTGCTATGTACTGCGTTATCCGGGACACGACGTCGGGTGCCTCTGAAACTGCAGAGAACAGAGGGAAAAGCATTCAAGTGACTGCTCAGACCCCTGCCAGCCCTGTCCTCCCTCAGACCCCTGCCAGCCCTGTCCTCCCTCAGACCCCTGCCAGCCCTGTCCTCCACCTGCTGGTGCTGCCCAGCCAGCTCCGCACCTTGCACAGGAAGCTCTGCCTACCCCAGAGCACAGTAAAGCTGAATCTGTACCCAGCATTTCTGACTGAATCTGCAGTCTTTTAGATTTGTTAAAAGCTTTTCTTTGCCCCTGCCCAGAGCCAGCTTTAGACTCTTTCACACCTTGGCTGCAGGTATCTGCTGAAGAAAGTGCCTGGCCATGTCTCCCAGGTGAGCTGCTCTGCTCACACCAGCACTGAGTTACCTGAGTTTCTACTGAACTCATGGCCTTGCTGAGTTGACCAAAAAGACACAGGGACACACAAGGGTAGGAAGAGCACAAAGATCCCGTGATTTTGTGAGACTGTGGTTCATTCAAGTTGACACAAAGACATTTCTTAAATGCTTTCCATATTTCTTTGGTTTCAACCAAAGAGCCTCAACTGTGAGATCCAAGGAACACAAGTGACCTTCAACAGGCACTTCCATACTTTAAAATGGGCATTTCAACCCAGACTCTTTGTATTTGAACATTGAACTGGTAAAAATTATGGTTCTCTGCCAGATCTCCTTGTGCCATTACAGAGTTCCTGTGCAGTGCCATCCCACAGACCAAAATGCAGAATGTACAAAGTCTGCACTACACAAAAATGAGGTGGATTTTTCCTTTTAGCTGGATGGTTTCCTCTTACAACCAACTAAGGAACAGATATGGCTCTTTCTGGATTTCTACAGATAATGAAGTATTCCTAATTCAGACACAAAAATCAAGTCTGTATTGACATTTTTCTGCATTTTCAAGTGCACCAAGCAATTAAAGGAAACCAGTTCCATACACCAGTTCTTCCCTGAATTCAGGATTAAGGGAAAGTGTAGCTTGGATAGCACAATAGGAGATATCTAGTCCAGCCTCCTGCTCCAAACAGGGCTGACTTCACCTTCAGAACAGGCTGCCCCAGGCCTTGTCCAGCCCTGTCCCCATCTGCTGGAAACAGCTCTAAGCGAGTACTCCTGAAGAGGTCTCCCTCCTCCTCTCATGGCTAGAGGACTTCCAGGAGCATCCTGGGAGTCTCAGGAACTCTGCAATTCCAACAGGGAGAACCACCTTGCAACCTCCCCACACTCTTGGTGCAGCACAAAGTCCAAAGCTTTTTCCTTCTAATGAAATTTCTGTGTGGGCAATGCTGCCCACTACAGCATCAAATCTCAAGCCTTCACGTAGCCCTGAATGTGGCAAATCCTCCTTTCTCCTGTTTCTTTCCATTCTTGAAGAAATGGAGGAAGATACTGTAAGCATTCACATTTTAAACAGATCAGTACTTTAACTGGAGTAAGGCTTTAGTCTGGCCTAGAACAAACTCAGATCAGAACAGGAACTTGTTGGTCTGACCTAGGGCAGCTCCCACCTGTTACCACACTGCTGAAGAACAAAATTCTTCTTTAATAAGAATGTTTTCAAGTCTGCTGGCAGGATCTATCTATCTCACACACAACTAACAGAAGTTAATCTTCCAAGAGCTTCCAGTTTTCCAAACGTTTTAGGCTGCACAGTTCCTGAAGGAAAGCAATGTACTGAACTCAGGAGCAAGACCTCCGCATCAAAGAGCAAAGCTGAGAGCTAGGTAAGAACAGCATGACTCACAGGAGCTAGTTAGTGCCTCTGGGAGCCAATAACTGTTTGCAAACCACCATGGGCACGACTTAGAAAGGTCAGCATCTGAAATGGGAATGTGGTGGAGTGAGGAGAAAAGAGGAACAAAAACACTTGTCTGCTTCCTCTTGTATTTACTTGACCTCTGCTAAAATTACTCACTCAAGCTTTTCATCCCACACAGGCCAGACAGACACAGACTCTTACCAGTGGTCTGTGCTTCAAGTTTGTTGAACAGATCTCTCCAGGCTAGATCTTGGAAGAAGTTGTTGTATCTATAATCTACAGACCCCAGATACTTGGCCACTGGATGAGAGCCTAAGAAAGAAAGGAAAACATGACAGCTGTGCTCTCCAGCACTGAACACAAGCGTGGTTTGATCTGTAAGGAATTAAACTCCAAAATCAAAACCACACTTTACACCTCAGAAATAAACTTCTTCAATTATAACCAAGTCATTTAGTCCAGCTTATCTCTACAAGAACATGCAAATAGACTTCCCAGTGCAGACTGTTTGCTTCAACAAACTGCTGTCTTTTACTTGACACCTTCCCCCAAACAAATTAAATTTTAAAAGGCCAAAGAAAACAGGACTGGGAATCTGCTGAGGAAATAAATTATTTGGAAGGCATAAAGGCTTTACAGCTCTCCATGTCTCTCAGTTTTGCAAGCAGCTTTCCCAAACAGCCCTTCCTGCCCAGAGGCTGCACCACAGCCAGGCCACCTCTGCCAGGAGGGGCCAGACCCCTTCCATTTGTACCCCACAGCTGTTCTGCAACACTGAGAAGAGGCAATTGCCCCCAGGCAGGAAAAATAACCCAGGGAGCCTTGTTTAATCTGTGGAGAAGGGCTACAAGCTCAATAAATACGCTGCAATTTGAGGCAGAAAGCAGAGCCCCAGGATTACAGTACCCAGTGAACACTGGCACGTGCAGCAGGTCCCTGCTTACTCTGGCTGAGCCTCGTGGCTCAGCTCCTCCATGAGCATGGAAAGACCTCCTGCAGAAGCTTTGTGTGTGCACATCTCCAGCCCTGCATAGAGATCTGACTGCATACTTACACTGAGCAAGACAGGGAAGGTGTTCAAGTGACAAAATCTGCCTTGGGAGGTGGCAAAAAGTTGCCACCTTCATTTCAGGCCATCTGTGTCCCCAAAACAGACAACACCCCCTAGCAACTACCTCTACAGTCTTTGAACACAGGAGAAAAGGTGTGCCAGGGTCACCCTGCCCAGCCACCACCTGGCAGTCATGCTCAGCACCAGCCCTGTACAATTACACTCAGACATGAAGCAGCCTCAGAGTTCCTCTTAATCACATTATTTTCATCCTTCCTGCACACCAATTTTGCTCATCAAGCCACACTTCCAGACAGTTGAGTCACCAGCTGGTAACTGGAAACCTGACAAATCCCTTCAAGATGACCCCAGTTTCTTAACTGTACTCACCATGGTCCAGGAAAGCTCTGGGGGAAAAAAAAACCCAAACAATAAACCCACTGTCTTAGTGCTCCAAACCTCCAAGCTGATTTCCAGCCTTCAAAGAGAGGTGAAAGCTGGAGGTCCCCCTGAGCTGCCCTCAGTGTCAGGAGAGACTGGGCCCCATCATTTCCCTGCAGGGCAGTTCTGAGCAGGGCACACATCACAGCTCTGCGCTGGGTACTGGAGAAGCTTTCCCACACACTGCACATGGAAACAAGCAGTCAACAGCAAAGCCTCCCAAGAAGTCCTACCCATGGGAGCTGTATAAAATGTTAAAATACCCTAAACAGCCAAAATAACCCCTCAACATTTTATTTTCCCCTTTTCAGCTATGATACAGTGTCTTAGACAGCAGAGGAGTCTTACAGCCACGGAATCAGTGGCATGGAGCAGGACTAAATCATATATTTGCAGACACTGAGCATTTCTGATTGCTAATAAACCACTGAGGGTTGACCCTTCTGTCACTGGAGTGTGTAGCTGTGGAAAAACCCATGGAAAAACCACCACCAACCCTACTTCAAAGGTATTGCAAGCAGCAGAGAGGCTTTTCCTTTAAGACATTTATGGCATGGTCACCATTCTGTCTTTGGTACTTTTTCAATTGTCAGAAATGAGAGGTGGCTCCTCAATCACTTTAATGAACTGCCAGAGAGCTGGCCAGAAATAAGCACTTGATCCCATCAGGAAATACTGCAGACTTCTGTGGAAAAGATCCTGTTAGAGAAGTTTCTATATTTAAAGTAGAATCTCAAAAGAATTCACAGTTCTAAAGCATTTCATTATCAAAGTGCCTGGTTAATTTTTTTCTTTTTTGATTACAAAACAAAGTTTTAAGATTAAAAAACCGACCCAAATGCAAACACTAGCTAAATCTTGTGTTTCACTTCCAAAGAGAGAGTATTTTCAGCTCATTAAAAACTGCAGGACAGAAAACTGTTCTTCTGAGGCCAGGAGACAGTCAGCAAGTGAGCAGCGAAGTCTCAGACACAGATTCTCATTCAAAGCACATTTAACCTTGCAGAAATTTAATATTTTTTTTGTTTTTACTCCCTAAAGGGCTCTCTCTTCTCTTCTCTTCCTGCCAACCACTTTGGAAACTAAAGGCATTTTTTTACAGAAGGATCCAGTTCTTTTCCTCTGCCTTTTTTAATGTAACTTTTGCAAATGCCACAACTGAATGGACAGCCTAACCCCAGTGTTCATGGTGCTGGGCAGCAGCTTCTGATTCCTACAGGAACTTCCATCAGCTGCTCCCAAACCCAGAAAACTGGAGAACACTGCCAAAAAGTGCTTTTCAAGTGTTCTGCTGCTTACACCACTCAAGTGCTCTGTCCACACAAGTCAAGCCCTGGACCCCACCAGCAGTGCCCAGATGTCCCTGCCCACAGCAGCAGTGACTCCCCTGCTTTCCAGGCCTTGCCACCACCACATTCCTCATGTTCCTGACTACACCAGGACCCTGGTGCTGCTATCAGTGCACTCTACCTCCCTCACCACAAGCAATCCAAGCTGGAGAATGTTCCAGCCAGGCAGGCTTGCTGGGCTGCTGAAAGGGCAGAGATAAAGTGTTGGAAAACTGAGGGAAAAACCTGAGCAGACCAGCACAAAAAGTAAAGGTCAAGAGATGCATGTAATTTGAATAATTCAAATTCTCAGCAGTTTCAGAGCCTTTTAAAAATTTTCAACCCCTCCTCTTAGCATTTTCTGAGTCAAGCCCAGGGAGGCCAGAACAGTTATTGCTTTGGGAAACGTGGTGACCACTGAATTTAACATTTCAGCCAGGGAAAAGGGTTTCCAGAACAATATTCTGTGCACAAGAGCTTCCCTGTATGGGGAGGAAGTACTTAACCCCTTGCTTCAAACAAAAGGCTTAGAAGCAGACTTTGGCATCAGGAACTTAGAGATGAAATTCACTCCCACAAGAGCAGCAACACCAGCACTACACAGTCACGTAACAATTTGCCTCATTTAACCTATAGCCAAAGCTCCAGAAAAGCTTCTCCTGAGGGAACACAGCAGATTTCACCCATTCCCCTTCCTGTGAAGAAACATCATTCCTTATTTACCTAGAGGGATGATCAGAAATTTCATGTAGCCGAGCCAGTCAGGGGTTTTGTGAGACAGCTGCTCTACAAAGAGCCTCAACACAGCACTGAGGTAATTCTGGGCTCCTGCCACTGCAATTTTAATTGGGTTTGGAGGCTGTGAATTGCAGTTACAGCTAGACAGAAAAAGAGGAAACACATTTGTAATTGTGCCTTCAACCACGTATTTCAGAACAAGCAGCAAAAAAAACCCCAACTGGTTAATAACAATTACAGCAGAAGAGAGTTTGCTCAATACACAAGGCAATACTGCAACGATTCTCAGCAGCTTAAAACATTATTAATAAAGTACAAAATTCTTCAGTAATTTCTTAATTGGTCTCCCTGCTCCTTCTTTTGCACATTTTGACATTCTAAAGGGTTTGGCTTCTAACTATCTAGGTTAGGATGTACCTACTAACTGCTGGGTCAGAGAACACACTCGGGTACCCACAGCCCCCAGCAGATAAGTAGGGAGTACCTTTAGGAACTGAGGAATTAATCTGGGAATTGCTTGGAAGGGAGAGCAAGAACTATTTAAAACCCCTTTATTTGTTTTGCATGCTTTAGTGGTGCATGCACTGCACCCCTGAGGCAGCCTCCAAGGCACAGTCTCTGAGCTGCTCATGCTGCTGTGACTTGCATGCCTCACACGAGGTACAAGAGCAGTCCCCTGCAGGGGTGGCGAGTGCTGAAGAGCCACACAGCTCTTGAAGAGCCACATAATTCAATTCTGACTTCAGAACAGCAGACTGGAAAAGTTTCATGCAGGAGTTGAGAAATTAACTCCCTGAATCCTGGGGCACAGGAGCTGAGAGGCTTTTAGGGCTGAGACAACACAAGCAAGGTGAGAACTTACTATCTCTGTATCCTGGAGACAATTGTGCTGAAAGCTGCCTGAATATCAGCAGAGGAACATGTGCAGACCACTGGCAAGGTGTGCTTTTGCAAGACATCTGAAAGGTACTGAGGAGAGAACAGAACACTTTTTAGTCCTTTTTCCAGTACAGTTTGTCAAAAGAAGAAAATGTGCCTTTCTCAACCTCCTGGGTATTCTCACACCCACACCTGGGCACCCTTCCTGTGTCTGAAGGTGATAAAGCTACTTCACAAATGCATCCTCCATGCACAGCAGCCAAAGAAAAGTTCCCCTTTTAGAAAAATGGCAACATCTTCTTGACAGACACAACACCATGTCCCAAACATGCAACAGTTTTTACAGCCACAGAGGGCAGGGCCAGCAGACCATTCACTGAGCAGACAGCTCTGGGAAAGAGCAGACACTGTTTACCTGCCTGCTTCTGGCAGTGCAGCTGCATCTCTCTGATATCCATTTTAAAGAAATGCAATGCTCTGCCCACCCTTAAACACTGAAGAAAGGGAAGGGTGCTACCACACACATGTTCCTTTTGAGGGACTGTTTCCCCTCCATGCAGCTGATGGGAACACCACACACCTCAGGTACACATGGACATAATTATGGCACTCAGTAATTATCTCACACTTTCAATTTCTCCATGACTAATCTATACACCCCAGTCCATATCCCTCATGCCCTCTGATACTGCAGGAACAAGCTGCCAGAATCCCTAGAAGATGATCTACAACATCTTCTGTCCATCTCTAGAAGGCATTTCTCTGTCTTCCAAGTATAGAGAAAGTGGAACCAGCAGCTCAGATGATATTTTTGCTCTCTCACACATTGAGACCCTAGTTCTTCCAGAAACAGAAAGCCAAACCAGATAATGTAACTCCACAAGTCTGGCACAAGTTCCCCAGGCAGCAGCCACCCAGCACATGTTCATTGGTCCTCTTCCATACATATTTTATTGCTTTCTCAGAATAATGTTGCAAAAGGAGCAAAATTTATTCCAAACCCGTAACAAACCACTCCATGTTGTCAGCAAAAGAAAGTATTGCTCAGGGTTCTCCTTAAAACAAGCATCACTCAGCAAGGATGGGGTGATTCCTGCAGTCAGCAGTCACAGGCACATGTAAATGGCCACAGAGTTGATACAAAATATTTTCTCCTGTTCACCACCTGTACTCAGAAATCTCAGCCTAAGCCACGTCAAGGTCACACCTCCCTGCCTCCTTTGTCCCAGTCTACCACAGTTTAGGAGGCTTTTGAGTGCAAGAGTTTAGCCATACTCCCAGTGTGCTGCTAACCAGAAGGAATGGCACTGCTTGGAGGAGAAAACACCTCTGTGGAAAGGCTCAAGTGGCAAAGCTTTATGAGATCCCAGCATCTCCCGGCCAGATGAAATCCAGCTTGTGGGCACTGAGCACTCTGCAGGCAGCAGAACCTGCTTGGCTGGTGCAGAGCTCAAGGCCTGCCTGTCCATTCCTGAGGAAGAACAGTGCAGGAGAACTGTGCTCCAGGTAATGTCTCCTGCCCTTACCTGGCCTTGCCAGTCAGATGTATTGACAAGAATAATGTTTTCTGGCAGCTGGTCATCAGAAACCAGGATGTGATTCAGCTGATCGTACACTGTTTTCCTGGGGATCTGGAAATAAAGACACAGAAAAGGAACAGTAAGAGGTGTCAGCTCTAGCCATCAAGCCACCAGCTCCAGCTCTTGCAATTGATGTGCATGCTGGCCAGTCACCCCATCAGCAAAGGCACACTGAGCTGCTGACACTCTGCAGCTTCTTCAGCATTAGCCACCATGAATCTGTTGGCCACTGCTCTTTCTGCCATGCACTTTTATTTACATCACTTTATACCAACTAACAGCAACCTAGAAACTTAAGATTCATAAAAGCCAGGAACAATCTCCTTCAAGGAGGGAAATAAGTGAGTCCCACAGCTAACAAAAGCATGGCACATATGTTGTGCACAAGACAGTCCCTAGCAATCTGCCTTACTTCAAAGGAGTAATTCCTCAACACACCCCTATTCATTTCTCATTCTAACAATCTGGTCCTGTGTTTTGAGTTTATGGCTGGCTGACAAAGCTACAAACTGGCAAATCCCAGCAGACTGGATGGAAGATAAAATTTTAGCAAAGACATAAATTCCCTCCTTCCTGAAGCTGGGGGGCCCAGTTCCTTCCCAGCAGGGACAGAGCTTGAACCAGAAGGAAAAGGAGACAGCGGAGAAGAGGAAAACTGAGTGGCTGGAGGGCCAGCAGTGTCATGCCCACCTGTAGGTGGTGCCGGGTGTCCGGGGAGCGCTCGTTGTCCAGGCTGTTGGCTCTCTCGTTCTGCGGCCTCACCGGCTGCCTCTCCTTCAGGGACGTGCTTCTGCCCCGGCGCCCCGTCTGCTTCCCTTCAGACCTGCTGCAGAGACGTGCTTGCGTTGCCAGGGCAGGCACACTTGTGAGTGAGACACAGCCCCCAGAGCCCCACTGCCCCATCTGGCAGCCTCAGTGATGCCAGCAGAAGCACTGGGGAATTCTGCACGGAGACCTGAGCTAGCCTGCGCCCAGGTGATCCTGCTTCTGACAGCACAGCTCACAGCTCAGCACATTCCCAGGAGTCCCAGGATGACTTCCACAGCCCGTGCTAACACCCACACCACCTCTCTGCTGCTGCTACAGCAGCATCACAAGATTCACCCAGGCAAACTGCAGTCACAATCCCCAAACCAGCACAGAGTCCTCTGGGCATTCATTTACCAAGTGCTCCAGACCGATCACTTAAGTGCCCAAACACAGGGAGGGTGTCCTTGCAGCTCACTGCCTTAAAGCCACCCTGACAAAGTCCTAGCGCACTGTCCATGACTTCCTGACAGGCTGCAGCATGCACAGCCCTGTACCTGGTGGATGGGATGATGAGGGACTCCGTCTTCGTGATCTTCCCACTGGGTGGGAGCTTCTCCACAAACACATCTGGAGTGGGGAGTTCAGCCTCCTGGACCTCAGCTTGCTGGTTAGACTCCTGCAAAAACACAGGGAGCAGAGTTACCAGGAACAAACCCTCCCCTCTGTCTCACCATGGGAGCTTAGCTCTGGCTGGGGCACATTGGCCAGAGCCTGCCTCTTCCAGACATCATGCTCAGTGCCAAAAGGGGGAAACCAGTAGTGGCTATCTGGGGCTACCCATTCCCAGCTCTACCTCACAAGGGAGCTGGAGGTAGGAAAGGTGTTCAGAGATGCTGTTTGGAACAGGCACTCTCACAGCTCAAAGCCAAGGACATGCCTCCTCATGCAATGCAGATGAATTCATCTTACCCAAACGAACTAGCTAAGAGAGAAAGACATGAGAGAAATGTTACACACCCCACGTTCCCAGCAGAGCAACATGAGCTTTGGGATTTTTACCTCAGGACCAGCTTGATTTCTGCCAACTCAGCTTAAATACTTCTGTCTGATAAAATGGAACAGCCTTGAGCATCCTTTACGTGCTCAGTAGCAAACTTTGGGCCAGCCTTCCTCCTCAGGCTGTTTGAACAAAAGGTCAAATAGAGCATTTCACCTGCAAAAGGCTGAAAGACAAGAAGCTCCAGACTAAGGCCAGGAGGAGAACTCCATGCTATTTTCACTGCAGCTGATGTTACCCATGGAAGTTGTGTTGCATGTGCAGCTATATGGACAGACAGATGCACCCCACAGAATGCAGCCCACAGCTGACACCCAAACTGACAGGAGGAAGGTCAACAAGTGCATTTTCAACTTACATAAGGGACAGTGTCAGAAACACTGTCGCCTGCATGTTTGGTTCCAAGACTCTTTGTCTTTTCAGGCACTTCTACCTGCTTGAGAGAAGAAAGATCCTCAGGAGGTTTAGCACCAGCACAGTTTCCAGCCATGTTCTCTGGGTCAGGCTGTTCAGAAGAGAGGCTTCTCCATTTAAACATCACACAGCTCTGCAGCATGGCCAGCAGTGCTCCCTGCTCACACCAGGACTGCACACATCACTGTGAGATGTGGCAAAGCTGATGCACAGCACACAGGAGAGGCAATGAAATGCTCTGGGATGGGACTGACACTTTCTGCCCATTCAGGAGGGAATGGAAAAGCAGCTGAGCTGTCGCTGACCATTCACTGTCAGTCACCAGGAAAAACAGTCCAACAACAGCAAAGAAAAATTCCTCCAGAGTGCTAGGAAGTCCCTAAAACTCCCAGGCAACATCTTCCATCTTGGCCGTCATTTCAGGCACATGAGAATCTGAAGCTATTCACACCATCAGCAAGTATTCAATACATAACCTGAAGATGCATCCTTGAGTTAATAGATATTTGCATTAAAAAAACCAAAACAAAACAAAAACCCCAAACTGGCCAAAAAAATCCCCAAAAAGTCCAAACTTTTCTTAGCAGGTTTTTCTTAGCAGAAAATTTGTATCTCTGCATCCAAATCTTTGGGGGGTGAGAGGTTTATTTTACACATGCAATTAGAGAGAGTGCAGAGAGGTAACACTTGAAATGTGACTTACAGGACTTGGTGGCTCTCTCTGGCTCCTGATGCTGTGGATGCTACCAATTTCTGTCTGAGAGCTGGAGTGTGACAGTCCTTCAAAGTAAGGTCTGAATAAGAAAAGTAAAACCCATTTCTTATTACAAAAAACACTGACAGGGCAAGTCCACCACACTCACAGCAAAGCAGCACAACAGTTAGAAGAACTCAGTGCTCCCCAATGGTTCCAGTAAAAATAGGCTACTTTTAAAAGGAGAGGAGGGTGCCCAGGACAGGAAGAGAAGCCAGAAAGTCCAGGCATTCCTGAATCTAGCTTCTGACTGACATACAGCAAGCAGAATTACTGCTTCCCCCACACCCCAACACTCTGCTCCTGGGTAAGTGATTCTTGGGCTAATATACATTTTGTTTCCAGCTTGCATCTGGATTTGGCTGCAAGCCCTAGGCTCCAATTACACATTTGCTCAGTAAGATAAGGTACCACACACAATCAGATTGTGCTTCTACTCAAAAGGCAGCTCATCATATCAGGCTACAAGACTCAATTACAACGTAAGGAACTGATTTTTTGTTGTCATGGGAAAAACCTGCCTCAAAGCCACCAACATTTATCACATCCTGTTCAAGATATGAACACCAGAACTGGACCTGGGAAACTACGAAGTGTCTCCCCAGGATCACACACATTAAGTTCTTATTCTAGCATTACTCCAGCAATCACATATCCCAGCACAGTTTGCTCCTCAGCTCCAGGGAACACGACATGAACTCCCAGTGTGCAGAGTAGAACATTTTGGCTTGGTTCAAAGCAGCTGCTTACCACAACACATCTAGTTTCAAATCCCTTCAAGGCAGGGCCAACCAGCTGGCTGGTATCTTGGGTTAAGCACCAAACACCTTTACATGCTAGCAGCCCCACCATTTCCACTGCTGCCCCAGTCTGTCCTTGACATCTCCTGGCTCACTGACAGGGAACAGCTCTCTCCACACCCAGAATCTATTCTTAGCCCAACGAGGTTATTCAATATTAATGAGGCCATAATGACACCTGGTAATTAGCAGATTTAGCAGATGCTGTACTGACCAGCTGCAGTGGTCAGTGCCGTAATTCTCTGTTTCAGAGCCATCACACACTGAAGGCCTGAGCATGCAGCCACACACCAGACAGAAGCAGGAGCACAGCTCAGTCTCACATTTTCAGGCTTTATTGAGCAGAGTGTGACACAGCTCTGTTAGCTCAGGGCTCTGCATCTGCTCGAGACCCCGAGCCAGCAATCCCCAGCTCAGCTCCACAGTGCTGGGACTGACCCACAGGAGCACTTTAAGAACAGGCTTGAGCACATCCACGTGTGCTGCAGTCAATGCCTTTGGGCCCTCAGGAATCCATTTGTTTCCTGCAGCTCTGCTTCCTTAATCCCTGCAAAGACTCTCTTTCCACACGGGGTGTTATTACAGGAAAGGTCTTTCCAGAAAGACAGTGTGCCTTGTTCATCCCTGCCTCAGCACACATTTCCTTCCTGTTTCTACTACCTTCCCCGTGCTCAGGTGGCAGGGCAGCAGAACACTGCAAAGGGAACAAGGAAGAACTGGGACTGAAGGGAAGTCAGACCCCACACACCTCTAGATCACAAGCTGTCACTCCCATTCTAACACCACCATGTCAGGAGGGGAAAAAACAGCATGGAAGGGTGGGAATAAAACCAACATCTGACACTGTACATGGTCTCTCTCTAACCCAGCATAAGCTGCCTCACACTTACTTTAACTTTGGCTTTGGAGTGCTCAAGACACTGTCATCATCCTCCATTTCTGGCCCGCTGTCACTGGGGTTCTCTATATCCAGCGTGTCATACAGAAGGTCCAAATCCTCCTCCACCTCTGGAACGTGCTCTGCTGGGTCCTGCTCTGAATCCAGAACCTACACAGGACAAAAACAGGCATCACCAGCTCTGCTAGGAGCCAGACTGATCCCACATCACCCATGCTCCCCCATGACTGCAGTACACCACTCCTGGGAGTAAGATTCTATTCCTGGTGCTAGGATACTATATCCAAGGAACATCAAGCATATGAGAAATGCTTGTCTTGGATCAAGCTTGTCAATGCCTGGTTAAGCAGGAGTTACATATTGGACCAGGCATTCATGAGCGTGCCATTGGTTATTTCCAGTATTCCCAACAATGTAGCATGTACTGGTTTTTACTGAAAAAGCTGCCCTGACGCCTCCTGATTTGATACCCAAAAATGTCCACAGGAGGCGCCTGAAACCTGGAGGAGGATCCGCTGCCACGGCCGAGGCAGGGAGAGCAAGCACCTCACTCTGAACTTGCTTTACACACACCCCGGAGCACACAGGGGCTGTGCCCTGCCCGGAGCCTGCTTCTGGAGTGGCAGCTCCAGAAAAAAGCAGAGCTCGGCTGCCCGAGCTCTCAGCTGTGGCTGCTGGCTGTGCCGAGCTGACTTGGGAAGACCAGCAAAGCTAACAGCACTGCTTGGAAGGGTAAGGCAGCACGAGGAGTTACTCACTCTTTCCCACAAGCCACAGAATCAGCACACAGCCGCGCAGCCAAAGGAGATGTTAACTGGTTTTGTGTTAGTTACTTAATGCTACGCAGGTTCTTTGGGGTTTGGACCTGTTTCATCCTTTTCTGCTCTGAGCAAGCAGCTGACTCTTGTGGACTGAGCTCCCTATCCAAGTTTTTCATGTTTTGCCTGGCTGTTCTAGTAAGATGATCAAACAGGCTGGGCCTTAACTTCACAAGCAATACACACCATTTGGACTGCTTGCCTTTGAACGGGTCAAAGATAATTTCAAAGCAATCTGCAAAACTAATGGGTACACACACAGCTGCCAAAATCTGCTTTGGATAAAACTGCATCTACAAAATGCTTGTTGACCTTTAGAAGTTGGCCCTCAAGCCTCCCTGCAAGGCCAGGGTGTAAGGAAAGGTCACATCCACTGTGGACTTAAAAACAAAATGAAGGGAACAGGAGGAAACAGGGGAGTGTTCCTGAAGACTAAAGCAAGATGCCCCAAGCAGAGAGCAGCACACAAGGCAGGGAGGTTTACAGAAGGAATCACTCACCTCATCAGACACTTTAAACCTCTTCAGCAATGCCACAACCTTCTGTTTGAAGTTTTGTTGCTGCAAATTAAAGACACTTTTATATAAGTAAAGCATTAAGTGAGCTGTTTTCTCCCAGCCTGCAAGAAGCCAGACACATCTGACACTGGTGCTATGCTGCTGTTTAAAATCAAACAACACCTGGCACCACAGCCCACCTCCCTGCTGTCCTTACACTGAAATCAGCTTTTCCACACCTATGGTAACTTCATTACCACCAATGGTAGGTCCCACTCCAATGAGCACTGTAAATCTGAAAGATGGCACTCCACTTTTGGTTGGACACACAATGGATAACAATTTATCTGCCAGATCACCTCCCTGTGCCTTTTTGATATATTCCTGGAAAACACGTGACAGTCAACTTTTCTGATTCTTAACAAGGGCGAGCCAACATAGACAACTACACACTGACCCCAAGAACAAATGTGATTTTTACCACCGAAGCATGGGGGGTTTTTTGCAGGAGTTTGCATGGCAGGTTCATTTATTTCACTAGAAGCACTGGTGAAAAGCTGTGGCACTTATCCTCAGCACTTGCCCCATCACACAAACGTTTCTGGAGTCATACTCCCAGATCCTGGATGCAGCAGGAACCAAGGCCAGAACAACACAAGGCAAACTGCTGCTCTCCCTTTGTGCTTGCTCACTCCCAGGTGCTCCCCCTTTTGCAGGATCAAAGAGCTGAGGTTTGCCCAGCCCTTCTCTGCCTGTCACTGACAAACCTGATGTGCACATCCTCAAGAAGGGCCCAGGTATTGGTACAGAGCATCTGAGGTGGCATCCTTGTGTCAGGAGGAAAGGGAAGAAGGAAATGGCTGGCACTGGGCCACTCTGAGGTGCAGAAAGTTGCGCATTTGCTGACTCTCATGAGGTATTGCAAGTCCAACTGCCTACTCCCAGCTCTGGCCTCAGACACTTCACACAGACCCCAGACTGCACCCTTTATTTCTGAGCTCCTGTCCTGCAGCTGCAGCCACTTCCAGACAGCTGAAGCTTAGGTGAAATAAATCCAGCACACTGTCCCAAGACAGCCCTGTTTCTGTCCCCAGTGCATCCCTGAGGCTGAGATGCCCTCCCAAGAGTGACAGTTCTCCTTTGGCTCAGGGTGTCAAGCAAACCCATCCATGACAACACCTGGGGCCAGTTCAGCAGCCCACGAGGGGAGACACTCAGAATGCAGCAGCTAGGGTGACAAGGCAAGAGCTGTTTGCTGGCCTGAACGGTTTCAGAGACAGCAGATCTGGTTTGGAGCTGGGCTGATGATAACTTCACTGGCATCACCAAACTCAGTTTTGCACCAGCTGGACCTTCAGCATCGGTTCAGAGGGCAGGGCTGGAAGGGCATTCCTCTTATGAGTTCCTTGCTTAACACCAAGCGGTGGATTTTGTCCTGACTGGTCACTGACACTTCAAAACAATATGGACACCAAGGGTACAAACTAGCACACTCCTGACCTCACAGAAAGGATCTCTATAGTGACAGATTCAGGTCAAAACAGGGTTTATTTCAGACCTCGTCAAAACATGGATTTCAGAAACAGCCTTAGACCATGGTGTGGTGAAGATCAAGTCCCTGCTCCACACAAGTGCAGCTTTGCAGGCACATCCATGCTTGTGAGGAGGGGAAGGCGTGGACAGCCACATGCATCTTTCTAAAGCTTCTATAGATATCATATCCAGCTACTTCTTTTGCCTCAGCACCACATGCACCACCTGAAGTTTATCCATCAAGCTCCAACCCCTGACTAAGCCACTTCATTTTGAGAACTTCCCACTGGCCTCTCCCATGCAGATCACAAATAGGAGAGCTTTCCTCCACTTAGAGCTACTTTCAGGACTTACATGAGCATGGATCCTGCACTGGTTTCTTCATGGGGATGGAATTTCATACACTTGCATGATTTTTGGAACTCCTCAACCTTGCAGCCAAGGGACACTCAAGACATGCACACACCTTGGATGGTCCCACTGCCTGAACTGGCTGTTTTTTCTAGCTCTTCACATGCTGTGACCATGCCCCCAAGCTCCATGCTGGGCCAGGGTGTCTGGTTTCCCACAAGCCACATGCACTGCACATCCTGGCCAAACCCCATCAGTGTTAGTAAAACTGATTTCCACCGACCCTGGTTATGGACGTCGTTCTTACTATCGATCTCCGCTGCTTCTTGGGCTTCCCCATCTCGTACTCATCATCATCCAAATCCTGAACAGAAAGAGGATTCCTGTGTTACCTTCGTCATTCTGTGACACATGAGCATGTAAATATGTTCCTTCTATGCAGATGAACCTGCTGCTGTGTCTTCCAGGCATCCAGCATTTGCCTTAATTGCAGTTATAATGGTAGAGGGAAAAGGAAGGGAGACAGGTCTGCAGGGACAGGAACAACAGCTTGGAGAAGCAAAACAGCCCTAGCTCTACATTCAAGGAACAAGGACAGTCATAGCCCCACATTTTGGTGGGTCCCTCTCTCAGTACCCTCTGACAGGTGATGCCAGAGTCTGAATTCAAGTAAGATCCAAACTCAAAAGCATCTCACATCTAGTCAGGGGATCCTCCATAAGGACCTATCGTGCAAAAGGTATTAAAGACTAAAGGCTGCCTCAGACCCCACTGGCCCTTTAATTACAGCTGGGGATCCAGTTGGGCTCTTTGAATCCAATGAACACTATAGAAGCCATCAAATGACACCCTGATCATTAAGCAGAGAAGCACAAGGATGCCAATGTTTTTCCAGGGAGCTCAAGTCCAAACACGTGAACAGATAAATCACAGCATGGTAGAAGAAATGGGTTACTGTGCAGGCCCTCTCCACTGCAGCTGAACACTTGGTAACAGTCTCACACTGGTGTGGTTTAGATACAGAAATAGGCTTTTAGTTTCAAGCAGGAGCTGGGAGTGCACATGCTCCACTGAGCCCTCTCAGGGAGAAGCCATGCCCTGAACAGTACCTGGCCCTGCACGGCATCATCACTGGCCTCCTGCTCAGAAGAGAAGCTCTCGTACTCTTCCTCGGAATAGTTGTCTGAAAGGGAAGGAAAGAGGGGAAAGATCCTGTGAAACTCCTTCAAGGTGAGGGCACGGTCTCATCTCAGGAGCAGAAAAGGCCAGCTGAAGGCACAAATTAAGAAAGGAGGCACACAAGGAGAAGACAAACTAGCAGGCATCTATCCGTGCTAGAACCAGTGAGACAGGAATTGTCTGGAGGAAAGGAATGAAGAGGAACACACCCAGTAAGAAAGAAGGACCAGGACACAGATAAGGCTCCTCCTTTCAGTAGGAGGAGGAAACTTCCTCCTGGAAAATACCAACCACCTGGTAGACAGCAGCAAGTAAAAAGGTTTCTCCACAAGGGAAATTACATTTCCCCCTAACATGTGCATAACTGACCTAAAGGGGCAAGTGAAACACGACTAAACCTTTATGGAAATGAGCCTTCAGGTGAGCTGCCCAGCCCCAGGCAGCAGCACACAAACACCTATGTGCACTACCTTCAGCAGGTCACTCCTACAGCAGTGAGCAGAAGGCTGGTACCACATAAAAACATCACCACAAGCCTGAACCCAATGACTTCCCTATACAGTGCACAACATCATGGATTTACACTCCTTAAGCCAGGCCATCACACCCTGCAAAACATGCTGTAGGTTGGCAGGTCTCATCTAAAGTTCATGAAATTTATTGTAGAATACTCAAAGGAAAAAGAAGATGAAAGAGTAGCTTAAATGTGAATCTCCTGAATACATCACTGATAGCCAGGTGAGAAGCTACAGGCTCTCAAAACATCCACCAGGAATGCTGGGAGAGCACTGGTGAGGACACAGCCAACCCTTGCTGGATGGCTCAGGTGTGGTGTGGCATGCAGGAAAAGCTCTGACAATTCAGTCCCCTGCTCCTGTCACACCCCCTGCTCGCTCAGCAGCACTTTTGCAAAGTGGGTTTTCTTTGCACTGATCACTTACAGACACAGCAACTTGTGCAAACCAGTTCTCATTTGTCCCAGGAAGCATCCAAGCCCAGGTGGGGTAATTTAACTTCAGCTAGTTCAGGAAGGCACTGGTCCTCAGAGAATGTGGTTGGACTCTTACCTGTAGACTTGATTTTCTGGCTGGCCTGCATAGTGCTGTCTTCATGGTCGATTGGCTGACTTGACAAGGAGAAGATCCAGATTTCTGCCACCTTCACTGGAGCCTCTTTGATGTTGCTGAAAAGGCTCAGAACCTGGCCACCTTCTGTAGGGTGCTGCATAACCTGGGACAGAAATTAAGCAGAACAAATCTGCATTTAAGTGTATTTAAACTTGTATCATTTGCATACTACAAGAGTTATTTATGTTAATGGAGTTACTCTACATTTCCAGGACTTTGTAACCACAGGAGCCACTTGCAGGCAATCCACAAGGCTAGTTGAGATTTTATCCTACTGCTAATGAAAGTGATGGAAGAAAACAAAAAACATTCTGAGCTTAACAGCTGATTAGCTCACCCTTGAAGCAGAGTACTTGACTACCTCATTACTATGTATTTGCTTCCCCAGCACAGTATTGATTTGAATTATCAAGTTACCCACCTTCTGAACACCTAATTAAGGAACTTGATAGTGTCTTAAAACCAAGCAAAAGAGCCGGTAAAAGCAAAAATTCTTGGTGAGAATGAAGTGCCTCCTAAAGCAAAATATCCTTGCTGTGGAGAGCTGACACATGAATCTCAGAGGAACCAGCCACCACCCCAGGACAATGAAGCAGCAGCAGCTCATGAAAAACAAGTCAGTGGTGGAGGCAGAGGGACACCTTGGTGCAGGTTTCTCCTTCCTTTGCCACTCTCAGCTCAGAGGTTTCTTCCCAGAATCTTGTGATCTTCTCTAGCCCCACCAGAGTGAGTGAGCCCATCCCCTCACCTGCACAGCTGCTTTCCAACACACACCAGGCTGCTCTGTCCCTCCTCACAGGGACCTAAACAGATCCGAGCTGATGACGAACATATGTCCCCCTGCTCTGAAACAGCTCACTCTCAACTCCAATTCACTGCTTTGTTTCAACAGCTTAAGAGAACTTTTTTCTTTTTCTTTTTTTTTTTTTTTTTTTAAAAAGAAATGAGTCAGTGGAGTTTAGGGGTCATCATCCTATAAACTCCAAAGGGGAGGGGAGGGCTTGTAAAATCCATTTTCCTGAAGACTTCAATTTCATAAATATTCCAGATGAGCTGGGGAGCAACTATTTCCTAACATGGTGAACCTTTGAACATTTTTGACCTTCTAACCCCAGTCAGCTGACATTACAAACAGACATAAGAAAAACCACATGTAGCAGCAGCAAATGCCCCACACTCAGAAGTTCACCAGTGACTCTAATTAATGGGCCCACATGTTTTCTGCCTTACAGCAGTATTTACTTTCTGGTAGTCCAACAAATCAAACAGTACAGGAAAAATGTTAGCTGCAACACCACGCACTTGGCCAATTCAAATAAGGAGCTCACCATTCACTGCAAGGCTGAGGGAAGCTGCACTCACACAAGAGAAGCACTCTTTAGAGTGAATTATTTAATATAATAATAACTCACCACAGCACAACACTGGCTTATTTTGGATAAAAGTAATTTGTTGACAGAATGCAGTCTGATGAAAAATATTGGTGTGAAACTGAACTTGCTACTGCTAAGCCCATTTCTAAACACTCAGACACTGAAACAGCAGAGATTAAACAGGGCACGAAGTAACAAAGCATGGAGCTATGCCATTCAGAAAGCCTTGGTGAATAATTTATCCATACTTGACTCCAGCATTAATTTTATCATTTACTTCTCATGAATAGAGCTCCACCTAAATTACCCACAGCCATGAAATAACAATGGCCAAGGGTTTTTCAAGCAAAATGAGAGAAATTACTTAATCCTGAACTCTCATACTATGGCACTGAGAGGCACAGTAAATCTTGCTTTAACTTTACCACTTCTCAGGGTGGGAAGGCTTGCCCAAGTGACTCTGTCTTGTTCTCCACTTTTTTATCTGGACCCCCTAACTCTAATAAAGCCACAAAACAACAACAAAGCCCTCAAAATGTCACAAGCTGTCCTTGTGAAAGCTTTAGCTATTAAGAGATGAGGCAGAAAACGCTCGATATTATTACTCAGTAATAAAATCTGGTTAAAATATTGCCCTGTGAATATTGATTGCAGCTGTTAAGACAGCTATTTGAAATCCTGTCAGGTTCTTCTCAATGAGGCAAGTGACAACAGTGGGTTTGGAGAGAAGGGAAGATGTCCACGTGTGAAAGCAGACTCTGTGAAGAGCAGCTCACCTCAGCCATGTTGATGCATCCCACAGCCAGGGTCTTGTAGCCTAAAATGGTTCTGTTCTTGTAGCGCTTCCGCCGCTGCAGCATGATCTGGAGCTTGTTGCCTTCTCTCTTCAAGAAGTGAGGGTACTGAGGTGGGAAACACAGTGGAAAAACTCATTTTGCTTCTTGGCAATAGCTCCCCAGCTTCATGGATAACCTCCATTCCTAAGGAACAAGCCCAGGGCTTTCCTAAGTGCCTGCAGCTCGCTTACACTCAGCACACAATTCTTCATTATCCTGGGAAAGACTCTGCCCAAACAGCTCAGCCAGGCACTCCAAAAACACAATCCAGGCACACAGAGCAGCTGCTCAGTTTGGGAAGGGCTGGGCACAGGGAGATGAGCAGCCTCTAGGAGACACTTTCCCAACAGCTAAACAGAGGATGCCCAGAAGTGGAGCCCTCAGTGCTGCCCTGCGCATGGGTCACTGCACAAGCAGTGGGCAGTGGCAGGGACAGCCACAGACCCCCACACTCTTGGCAGGACACTGCCTTCCCTCCAGCACAAGGACACCTCTCAACTGGTTGTATTTTAAGTAATTAAGTCAAGAAAAAAAAACCTGTCCTACTGCCAGGTTATGTTGCAAAGACATAAATCTTCCCAAGGCATGTTCCATACTAGAAAATACATTTGTTTATACACCTCCTCCAGAAAGTCCCCAGGAAGAGAAAGCTGTGAAGTGAAGAAGAGACTGTTAGGGAATAAGGCTAACCATAACCATGAAGGAGAAGCTGTCCAAAGGCAGAAAAGTCATCAAGGAAAGATAAAGCAGCAACCTGGCCAGTTCTCATCCCAAGAAGAGAGGAGACTGGGACATGTGCTCCAAATATACAACATAAATAGTACTAAATAACCAGCAGACAGGAGAACCTAATGGCTGGGATCTCAAAGAGGACATTCAGAAGCAAAGGATGCTTCTCTTGCAGGGAAGAATTACTTTTTTTTCCTTGGAATATTATGAAAATTAACTTCCTGCCCATCAAAACACTTGATAAAATCAGCAAACACCACCAGAAACCCCTGAGATATTAATTTGCAGTCCAGAGCAAGCCTGACTGCTCTGCAGGGAGCTGGGAGCAGCAGCCACCCAAACAAGAATACTAATTAGCTGATTGCCCTGCAAGGGCAAGATCTACTGCTCGTTACCCGAGGCAGAGGCATTGCAGAAGAGAGGAACAACAATCCACATCACTAAAAGACAATCCCAAAACACACAGAGCCTGTGACTCTACAGATGTACCATATCCCTAAAGGATGGCAGAAAGTTATTGGAGAGAAGGGGCAAGAGGGGCTCAAAAATCCAGAGGCACCTTTCACACTCAAATTTACCATTTCCTTCTTCTGGGGCCCTTCTACGTGCTGGAAGGGCAGCAGGGAAGAGGGACTCCTTGCTCTGAGTTCACAGCATTTGAGTCACACCTAGGCTGCCTAAGTACAAACCTAGAACTGAAGTCCCAAGTCACCCTTGGTGCCAGGCCAGCTCAGTTTGAATGTGTCCAGTTTTCTGGGATTAAACAGCTCAAGTCCACAGATGTACAGCTTTCTGTTTTTCTCAGGTGTACTGCCTGGCCACCTCTGATGAGCATTCACAGAGGTGGTAAAAGAAGGAACAGAGAGACTCAGGCCACTCAGCTCCTCCATCAAAAGCAAGGCCCTCCAGAAGAAAAGATGAGCTATTTGCACAGCACAGTCCAGCTTTTTTAACACCAGCCATGACTTACCAGCTCTCCAGAATTGCTTCAACACAAACTTTTCAGTGATTGCCAGTCCATGGCAGAGAATGGAGAGGAAAACAGTTTGGCTCAAAAGCTTTTAGAGGGAGCACCAAACACCTCAAGGTACCTCTGAGGAGTGAGAAAATTCACACACCAGAATAGTGAGAGTCAGGGTAAGACTTTTTCTGAAGCCTCAATAATTTAATCTCTCCCATCTGGAAAGGTTTATTAGATTAAAGACAGGAATTAAGTGCAGAGCTCTTAATTAATGCCAGAGAGGTGTGATGTTGTGCTTGGAATATGTGGGGAATTTCCCTGGGCTCTGTGAAACCCACAGAAGTGTGGGTCAGGAGAAGCAGAAATTCCAGCAGGAAGGGTGATGTCAGCTCACCTGCCTGAAGGGCTGCTGCTGGTTCAGCTTTAGCCCCAGCTAGGAGGGGAAGCAGGACTGCACAGGGCACAAACTCCAGTCTCAGCTGTGCAACAGGGCAGCAGGAAACTCCTCCCTTCAGTTTGAGCAGAGGCCTGCCAGACACCAGGGGCTGCTCACTGTGGTACCAGCCAGCAGAACACCCCTAGCTCAGCTCTGGCAAGGGAACACTCCATGCAAAGGACAGGAGTATCACCCAGGAGAAGGAACTGAGCAGGCAGGCAGCACAAAGGTACAAGGGGCTGCAAATCCAGGCAGGCAGCACAAAGCCAGGCACACAATGTTGAGAACTGACCATGCAATATGGAGATACTGACTGCTGCAAGACAACAAAACCCTGCTCTGTGACACCCACATGCTTTTACTTTGTGGCCTATCACCCCTCTCAAATATATCCCAGACACTAAATTCAGATTGCAGCTGAATTAAGCTATATTTGCTAGCTAGAAGTAGCTTTCAGCCATTGTCCAATTAAGCAGCAGTAAAAGTTGCCATAAAAATCCAGCTGGTGTCATTTCAAGAATGCTTCCCAGGCCTTACTGCATCCAAGACCACCAACCCTTCCTGCAGTCAGAGACCAGCAGCACCTCTCTGCTTTAAGCTCACTCACCCCTGCTGAAGGCTCAGTGTCCCAGACACTCCTCTCCCCTGCTCTGGCTCAATTTTCAGCCCCGTCAGGGGAAGCAGAGTTAAAGGCAGTGCTCTGCATCCTGCTGCAGCATTGCTCTGAGCCCCAGGAAAAAACCCAAAACACCATAATCCAAATGAATTCCAAAAGATCTGCAGACTTGCTCCTTGCTGACACAGGACTGGCAGAGGGAAACCTGGCTTGTCTTACGGCTTTGCTCCCAACCATGGGAAAGCTGCAGCCACAGGATCCAGGTGCAGATATTCCTGGCATGCAGCTTGGTTATTCCTGTTCACAAAACAGGGGATGCAATGCTGCAGTTAACCCAGCCATCTGCTTGGGCAGCTGCAGGGTTATCATCTATCTGCAACGAAAGCTTACCTGCTTCAGCTCTGCACAGGTCTGAGTAACAACCAGCCTCACATCATCGCCTGAGCCTTTCTCCTTACCAGATCAAAGTCCTGAAGTCAAGATCTAACCCACAGTCACAAAACAAAGATAATCCAGACATGAATGCTCCTGAGGTCTGTCTGGCTCTGCTCTATGTGTGCAGGATCCTCTCTCTCACTTTCAGCAAGCCAGCCCTTATTTACCTTATTTCCCTGCTCAGGAGGTAGCACCAGGGCAGCAGGCTTTAAAGAAAAAAGGAACCAAAAAATGCAGTTGCTCCAATTCACAGCTATTCCTGTGACCCCAGAGCCAGGAGTAACTATAAGCACACTGCTCCTGCTTCCCCAAATGGTGCCTCCCTCAGCAACTCCAAATCAGAGGCTCACCTGACTCATTCCTACTACTGCCTCCTGTCAGCCTGACACTCCACACCACCCTCACGGCTGCCATCCTCCACTGCCTGCTCATAAGAAGGCAACAAAAGGCAAAAAAGAGCCAACTCGCTCTGCTTCAGCTCTTGCCACAGCTATGCCTTGAGGAGGAGAGCCTGCAAAGCCTTCCTGCTCCGGGATGCACTGGGGAGGAGCTGTGAATCAGCCGCGAGCGCTGAGAGGAGATTCACACAAGCTGTGCTGCTGCTCACCAGGACCTGCAGCTGGCAGCCACCACGCAGCCAGCCCTGCTCCACCTCGGAGCCACCACGCAGCCAGCCCTGCTCCACCTCGGAGCCACCACGCAGCCCTGCTCCACCTCGGAGCCACCACGCAGCCAGCCCTGCTCCACCTCGGAGCCACCACCTTCCCCTGCAAACAAGCCCGGGGGAGCAGCGGCAGCCCAGCAGCAGCCGGTGCCAGCCTACCTGCAGCGAGAAGGTCAGAGCCAGCTCCGTCTCCACGTGTCCACTCGGGGGCAACACGATCTCGTGGGAGCGCAGGATGCGCTTGGAGCCCTGCATGGAAACAAAGTCCAGCACCGGGTGAATTGCCCCGAAGCCACCTCTCACATCCCATCCCAGCCCTGTTTACTGCACACCAGGAAACGTTGTCAGGGACTACCACAGAGAAGTCAACGGATGGCTCTGACCTTGTACTTCTGTGAAATATTAATGAGATGAAAGGGAGATATTTGACTAATAAAGATTTGGGCATATTTACTGTCCCTAACTGCAACAATGCAGCTTTTGTTCTGCCAAGCCCCAGCATTGAAAAGCTGTGAGTCAACCCCTACCCCCGGAGTCGAAGTCTCCTATTTTCACTTCAGCCAATAGGTACAGGGCTGTTCGTCTCCTGGGTCTGGAGGCTGCAGCATCATGCTTAAATCTCCTGCGTTAGTCATGACAGACTGGGCTTTTCTTTTTGTGCACACAACCCTCCCTGGGGAAAATGGGGACTTTAACCTGTTTAAACAATTGCCAGTAGCTAGGAATATTAAAGAAAAAAATCACTAAGCAACTTAGTGGAATCTGGAGATTCAATGTATCACAGGGCAATTCCAAACCAACCCTGTGTGTGGACTGCCTTATGCTAACAGAGTTACCAGGCTATTTACTGTGTGAGCATTTCATTTCAGGGAATGTTTAAAGGAAAACTAGCAGGAAAACATGACAGACTGCTGCCTAGCAAACCCTTCTGCATTGTTCAAACACAGTGGCAAGTTTCAGAGGTCTCTGGCTCAACGTTCTGCTGAGGCTGCAGATCTGGCTCTGTCCAGACGGGCTGATCTCCCAGAAGCACAGAACTGTAGCTCTCAAAAAAGCAGCATCTGGGAAATCAGAGACAGACTGGGGGGGCGTAAACACATCCAAGCTACATCCAGGGGGAAATGTGGTCTGCCCCATCGGTCTCAGAGAGCATCAGGAGATGAGACAGCAGCAGAACCTCGTCTACATCCCCTCCTCCCCAAAGGCACAGCTCAGGCAGCCCCAGCAAAGGCTGTGATCTGCAGCGGTGCCTCAGCCCTGCACAGCTCCAGCTCCTCTCTGGGAACACCGGGATGCCTGAGCTCCAGCAGATCTGCCAGCACACGACAGAGCAGAGCCTGGCACCCAGGGGCTGCCCCCAGGACAAGCAGCACATGTGCAAGTGAAGCACAGCCAGCCTGGCCGCTGGCAACAGCAGCAGCTGCTCCATTTGTGCAAAGCTCCTAATGGCAGCAATCTTGCTTTACTGGTTACGCAACCAAAATCTAACGAAAGACCAAATATAGTTGCTTTTAAAAGACCGCAGCAGATAAACAGAGCAACGGCTCGGGAAATACAGCTGACAACTCTTTGAACATCTCTTCTCTGGAGGCTGCAAGGAAACATGGGAGACGCAGGTAAGATGCTCTCATTAGGTCTGAATTCAATCACCCCCTCTGGAAGGGCTCTGGTGTCTGACAACTCACATGCAAGTCCCCACACAACAGCAGCCATTTGACAGAGACCATGTATTTGATGATCCAGTACCACCAGCCTCAAACAACAGCCATGTCAGAAACCTGAGTGCTGGCAAATAAAGCATCCCTGGAAAAGCCTGTTAGCATCAGCAACATAACCTGCAAGCTCTGAAGGGATTTTTAATAGCAGGGCCTGGTGTGGAGAGGACTGCTCAGGTTCCAGTGTCGGAACCCTGCAGCAATGCAGACCACAACACATACACAAAATGGGACCTGAAATTCCCACGTGTTAAAATTCCCTTTGGATCTGTGGGTTTGGGGCAAGTTTTCACCTAGAGAAAGTGTGAGCAGTAGTAATCTGGACAGGAAAAGAAGGTCTTGCTCTAATAAAAGCTTCTGAATTCTTCAAGCCAAGTCTGGCACTCTCTGGGCATAGATCAGTCTCTGACAAGCCTCAGGTGCTTACAGTGATGCATTCATCATCGAGGAGTACAAACATATGGAAAGTTTTCAGACTTGATAAGCAGTATCTGACAGCCTGGAAACCCACAGCAGTGCTTCTTCCGAGGTTCCATAATCCAGGTGTGTGAAGCAATTCCCTGCCTTTCTGCTCTCTGCTGTGGGTGCACAAACCCCCTCCAACTTAGAGGGGCGCATTTTTATCCCAGCTGGACCACTCAGAGATGAGAGATGCCAATTAAATCCTCAGCTATGTGGTTTTCCTTCCTGATTTTACCTTCCAAACTAGAATTTGTGTGCTTTGACACAACCAGAGCTCTCTGCAGGGGTTTGCCTAGCTCCTCATTTGAAAAGCAGCAGCTTTTCAGCCCAGTTAATGTTCTACTTACAGGTCTGCTAGGCTTTTCCTGGTTAAGCACTTTAGGGTTCGCAGTGATGCAAGCACGTGAGCCCAGCCGATGCTGTGACGCACGGTGGAACCGAGCTCCCTTCCTTCCCCCCTCCAGGCAGAGTGACCTACATGGAGGGACCTAATTAAATGGCACAAACATCTGCTGTGAAGTGGGTTATTTACCTAGGATGACAGCTGTATTTTAGGAAAAGCAATTAGTCTGTACAGGCACCCTGCAAACCCGCTGACAAGCTTGGCTACAGACTCGATAGCAGAGCTGCCCAGCAGCAGAGGAAGGCCCAGACTCCCCCAAACTGAGACCCAGTTACCAAGATATTCAGCCCCAGACTGGTAAATAGAGATGTGGGCTTGGATTTAGTGCCAGCTCAGGAAGAAAAGGGGACATGTGATCTGTGAAGAGCATTTTTACATGCAGATAAGCTTATGCGGAGCCATCGGTGAACAATATTCTTCGCTTACAACAGTGAAATGAGTTTGGAATGTGGGAGAAGGGTAAGAAAAGAGACTACACAGATCCAGAACACCCTGATGGACTTGGGAAAAAGTCTGTGGATGCAACGTGGAAGTTGAAGAAGTTGAAGTCTGTGGATCCTTACGTGGGGGTAAAGCTCAGTTTGGGCACCTGCCAGTGTTCTTAGTCAAACAACACAATTCGTAGAACTGGGCAGTAATTACCTGCATTTTGACAGCAATGACCCCGGAAATAAGCTCCTTATCCAATTCCTTTAAGACTACCAGTTTCTTTAACGTCAAGCTGCACAACCTGCAAACGGGAACAGAAGAGAAACAGTTACAATCATGTCTGAAAAAGGAAAAGCTCTGATCAGCTTTCATATGCAGAAGTATCCCAGCTTGAGGGAGAACAGGTTCCAGACACAAGCCCCATGCTGATACAGACAAAGACAGCAGAAATATATGAGGCTTTCTTGGCTTCTCAAGACTGAACTTCTCCAACCTTCCATAAATACAAGGAGGTGGACAGGAGGTGCATGTGCCTCTGATACAGATCCATGGCCACACGAGAGCCCCAGACAGCACTGGCCTCCACTGACCACAGCCTGGAAACCCTTGCTTTGAGTCAGACCAAAAGCTTCAGGGTCAGAGGAATTAAATTCCAGCAATATGAAAGCATAGGGTCAATCTAATTTTAAACTTGTCTACAAGGCTTTCTTAGATTGTTGGCTTTTTCAGTTTCAGACTCCTGGCTCCCAAAGATCTCGCTCCCACCTCTTCTTGTCAACCCACACATTCTTCTCCTCACCCCCAAACAAAAGTGCTAGCAAGTGGCTCAGGCAAGGGCGGGGAGAAAAAAAGGAAAGAGAAAGGAGAGGACTGGAGTGGTGCCCTCTGGCCCTGCTGTTCACATGCCACACATATGCAAGTAAATCACATTCTTCACCCAGGCAATTCTACATTGTTCTGGTTAAAGCTGTTTGCACTTCTGCCTCCCAGCACAGGGAGCTTGGGAGCAGATGGAATTCGGCCTCTGCAGCTGAGTTCAGGCTCTGGGTAACAGGAACATTGGTGCTGTCACAGTTTCACAGAAGTTACCACCAGCTGGGGGAATTCAGAAGGCATGCCCATAAACAAACTTCAGGCAAAGATAAACCTGAAGCCAAGACAGCTCAGTCTGAGGCTAGCAGAGGCCAGAGAAAGTTGCTGGGCAGGCTGCAGTGACTAGACATCATCTGTCACGCTGGCCAGGAGCCAGCACTGCCTTTGTGTCAGGTCCTTACTCCATGGCATGGGCATCTCTGGCCTCTGGCATGGAATGCTAGCAGGCATCAGCATTACTCTTCTCAAACCCACTGCCAAGCTCTTTCTCCCAGATCAAGTGTAACATCAGGGCCCTTCATGGAGGGGTGAAGTCCAGCAGTAATGGGAATGAAAGAGGAGCTGATGCTGGATTTTGGCACAAGTGCCACTGACTGAAGCCTGCACTTGAGCTACAGTATTTCACACTGGTGCAAGGTGCCTGACAATGCAGCACTGCAAGGCTGACTTGCACCTCCACCACTTTTTCCACCGATTTGCTGCAATGCCTGAGGGTAGACAGGATCAGCCTGGGTGCAAAACAGCAGCAGAGATGCAGCTAAAGGCTCTTCCCAACAGGAGTTGGGGCAGGTGTTGAAGCAAGTACTGCTGGTCTCATCCTGAAGCACCCGTGCCTCTGCCTGAGCTCTGGTCTCTGACACAGGGCCAGCAGCAGGGAAGAGCCAGGCTTATGGTCTGCACTCCAGCACCTCCCCAAACATGTCCCTGCCAGCCTCTTCTCCCCAGCTCATGCCATCTGCTCTCCCTCTTCATTTGCAAAGCTCTTGTTCCTGCTAAAACCCCCAAAAGCCAAGAGAAACAGAGGACTACAAGCTGTCTCCTTTGCAGAGCTTTGCATCACAAGACAGCACAACCAGAGATGCTGCAGAAGTTACAAAGAGGTAGAAAAACCAGGACTGCCTGGGCCTCTGTCCCCTCCTGTCCCTCTGTGTGCACTGGGAGTCAGGTGAAGCAGCATCTCTCAACCTGGAGAACAGGAGAGGGTGCTGGCTTTTCTTCTGCATCCCAAATGAAACAGCAGGCACAGACAGCCACACGTGGGCCAGGATCAGGAGGAAGGAGGCTGTGAAGCTGTTTGTTTTCTTTGTAACGCTGTAGCTGGAGGACAATTGTGCTCAGCTTGCCAAAAGCCACAGAGCTCGGGCCAGTCAGGTGCTGAGAGCAGAGGTAGGACAACACACTGGCATTGTCTCAGCTGACAGGCAAGGAACAAAGGCCTTTTCTCTCCAGCCCCGAGCCCGAGGATGGAAAAGGTACGGGAAGAAACAATGGTGTTCTCAGCACACAGAGCAGAGCACAAGGAGGGCGTTCTGTTCTCCGCTGGGCATTCCTTCAATTCATCATTTATGAGCTTTGATCAAACCCTGTGGAGCACTTGCTGCTTGGGGAAAAAAAAATTAAAAAATTAAAAGCCTCCTTTACAGTGATCAGAAAAACAAAAGCAGTTTAAAAAGACATGGGACACATCTGCTTTCTTCATCCCCCATTGCTGGGCTGCTGGTACTAAAAGGCACTTCACACAAAAAACAATGGAATGTTTATCCTCTCCATCGGCGGGGGGCAGGGTGTGTGGGGGATGGATAAAAATCAGTTTTAATCCTATCAAATCATTCTTACCCTCAACACACGCTTTCAGTCTAAGTTGGCAGCTTACAAATCAAAGCAATCTTCAGAACATGTGGCAGAAAGCGGCCATACCTTACTCAAATCACAAGGAAAAGGCACATGCCAAGTGTGTCCCTGCCACCAGCATGAGGATCCCGAACTACTCACAGGTACAGCAAGGATCTGTGAGCCAGAACTGCCTCTGATAACAGTGCACTTATCTTTCACCAAGGTTTTACTGTACTCCCAGCAAGCCTCAGGGGTCAAACAGGGCTCAGCCCCACAAGCCGCTTCTATCAACAAGCCTGTTAGGTTAAACACTGGTATGTCAAACAGAACAGACACGGCTGGAGCTGGAAAGACATGGAGAAAGAACAAGGCTACATTTGGAAGCATCTGATACATATAGATATGATCCCTGTGAACATAGAGAAAATAACCTAGCACACACAAGGGGAACTGAGGAAGCCTCAGGTCCGGAGCTGAAAGAACCTGAAGTATTTTGAAAGCCTGGGACTGCAATTCAGGAGGTGCAGAGAAATCCTGTCTTTGCATGTTTCAGCAGTGACCTACAGTTGCTCAAGGAGAGTTCAGCTAGCAAAAGCACTAAGTTAGCTGAAGCAGACTTAAATAAGGACAATGGGAATCTGAGAGCCAGTATTTCCACCGTTTATTAAAGGTTCATAGTTGATCTCCCTGGCAGGAGCTCAGCTGGGTCCCAAACAGCAGCAGGAGCCTCTGTCTCCTCTGGCCACAGACGTGCCCCCACAGCAAGCAGGCACAAGGTACTTGCCTGGTCCTCTTCTCAGGTCAACAAATCATGAAACAGCTTAATGCTACAATAAAACTCTGTATTTTTACATCACTGCTGCAAGAACGGAATTTTGAGGAGAAACCTCAACCTGACCCAAGGATTTCAATTCACCTTGCTAATGCAAGTTGTGCTAAGTAGCTTCATCACAAGCCCTTTACGTAAGGAGGCAGCTCTCTGCAAAGAACGTAATATTTTGGTAACTGAGATGCAGCACACGTGTCCAGAACAACCAAATAAAGTGTCACATTCTTTACTCACTGGATGTTTTGCTTTTGCATCCCTCTGAGTAGGAAGATCAGGAAAATAAACCCCCTCCAAGAAAAAGTCTGCCTTGCTGAATTAAATGTCTGTTTCTCCACAGGGAGCACAGTAATTGCACTGAGACCTCGTTCAAGCAGAGACAGTCGAATCAACAGGAAGGAAAAATTAAAAATTAAAGACCTGCATTTTAATTAAACCCCACAGAAGTAGAGAATAATAACAGGATGCATCCACAGTTATAGGGGACTCCAAGTACAAGATGGGAGCTGGGGCAGGAAGACTGTACTACACAGACACCCTTTGTCCAGGTTAAGAGCTGTGAAGAACTGTTCCTAGAGAAAGTGTTTCATGCCAGGAGCACCTTCCTCTGAGGTCTGAAAACCTCAATCAGCCGATGGCTATAAGGAAGGAATTGGTTTCCGTTTGGCCACTGGACAGTTTCACCTCATCCAAGTTATTTCAGCATTTCAGGAGAGCAAGCAGCCTCCTAGCCCGGTGCTTTCAACGTCCATGCTGAATGTTTTGCTTCAAGCTGACACTTTACACCCATATCAGTCCCAAATAAACCAGGAGCCACTGGAAGGAGAACTGGAGGGAGATACCCACCTACACACGCTTGCCCAGACAAACAGAGCCATTCTGCACATAGCTATGGAGGTGTCTGTGCAGGAGGGGCCTGAGCCAAGAGCCCTGCCCAGCATTTTGGGGAGACAGCTGCTTCAGGAAGGTATGGATGTCCGCAGCACACCAAGAGCCAGCTGCATCAGCAGCTTCTCAGGAAGAAAAAAACAGCATAGGGACAAACCTGTTGCTGCACTTACATGCCAAAGGCAGGGCTCTGTATTGGCCTAGGAGCTAGCTAGGGGAGAAAGCAGGGCAGGAGTACTGTCCTCTGATGTCACTGACACATCAGGTTTGGGCTCTGGTCAAGGGCAGCAGCAGGAGCCTCAGGAAGATGATTCCTCACTTTCCAAAGCTTAATGAGACAACTCCCTCAATGTGATCTAATCCTGGTCCCATTGCCAGGGAAACTCCCAGGCAAGGTGAAATCAAAAGAGGAGGCAGAGGTCAGGCACCCCAGCTTCTGACATGACAGAAGCATAACCTGAGTAACCTGCAAAGAAACCTAATAGTCCTTCTTTCACATTTCCCACTAAGCTGACCTTTAATCAGCTGTTCTGGCTATAGATCCATTTGAGTAAGGTTTAAGCAGCCAGGAAACAATTGCAGAGCCAGTATTTTCATTGTTCTTGTTCTCAAGGATCTTGAAATCCTCTTCCCAGCATTCATACAGAGAATTAAGCTCTTAAGATTCTAGACTAAGATCTATAAAAATGCTGGAGTAAGCAGGTCTTGTTCAGCCAGGTAGGAGGATGGCAGCTTATTTCACACAACAGGTTCTACCCAGGACCTCACAAGGACACACATGTACAGCCAGACACTATCCTTTTATAGCTGAAATACCGTCCTGCTCACTTCAAATAAATTATGCCTACTCCAAACTGAGCAAGCAAAAGGGGGTGGGTGTG